TAAATTTTGCAAAAAACCAATTACATAGCTTTTACGAAAATCGACAGAAATCGTCCAGATTTTACCTCTATAGAGATCGATACATTTAGCGAAAAAATTAATGAAGTACCACATGCAAAATATCTGGGTATTTTTGTGGATTCTAATCTAAAATGGACAAAACATGTTGAATATGTCACAAAAAAGCTAAAAACTTTAATACATAGGTTCTATATTTTAAGAAATATTGTATCGAAGGCTTTAATAACCACATTATATCAGAGTTTAGTAGAATCCCTGCTGAGATATGGTATATTGGCTTGGGGTGCTATGTACAAAACTACTCTAAAACCATTACAAATAATTCAAAATAAAATTTTAAAAATCATCTATAAGAAAGATTACCTTTATCCAACACATCTGCTTTATAATTAATAATCTAAGAATACTATTCTTTCATTCAGTAGTCTGTTTTGTGCATAAAAATCAGGATAAAAATATTATATCTCATGCTTATTCAACTAGAAATAATACAAAGAATATGCTAATTATACCGAATTGTCATAGCGAATTCTACCAAAGATCAGTTAACTATCTTGGACCAAAAGCGTATAATTTGATTCCTGACGCAATAAAAAGTAATATAAGAGCTAAAACGTTTTCAAAGCAAGCAAAAAAATATCTTTGGGAAAATAGAATAACATTTCTGAAACTGCTGTCATAAGACCTATCTATAATTTTGTGTTTTTTTCATTAAGTAAGTACTAGATTATTATTAGATAAGTAAGTAATTTTTAGGTTGTAGTGATTTTTCTTTTCTTTTTTTCTTTCCGTAAGCGCGATAGTAAACGTGTAAAAAAACTCATCTCTAAATACAATTACAAAAATTTTAAATATCAAAATAAGCACATACAGGTGTTAAGTCATCTAGGTGCTTTAGTTAGTTATATATAATATTAGTATTGTAACATAAATTTAATGTAACAATATTTGTAACTATTTTGAAATAAATAAACTTGAAACTTGAAACTTGAAACTTGAAACTTGAAACTTGAAACTTGAAACTTGAAACTTGAAACTTGAAACTTGAAACTTGAAACTTGAAACTTGAAACTTGAAACTCAGTAATACCAGCCCGAAGGGCCGGAGTTATATGCGAGCCCGAAGGGCCGGAGTTATATGCGAGCCCGAAGGGCCGGAGTTATATGAGCCCGAAAAGCTAGAATTATACGCGAGCCCGAAGGGCTAGAGTTATTTTCAAAGAGCCAGGAATATAAAAAAACTTTAGTTTTATCAAATTGATTTTGGAATGTTGGTTTTTTATGGGGTTTTCTTAAGAATTTTTCAGAAAATGGTGGTTTTTGCAAACATATACTACTTTATCGTTGTCTTTGTCTTACTCACTATAATCAATAAGTAAACCTTATAATGTCATTTTCATTGATTTATTGATTAATTATTAAATTGAATTTTAAACAAAAAACTCTTTTAAAATGTTATTTTTGTTTTCCGAGATGTGATGTGGCAACGTTGCTTTTAGTTAGTAGCCATTTTGAAGTGACGCCTTGTGATTTTTTGCCAGTTTTTTCTCGAATTTTCGATTTTTCCAGAGTTTTTTAAAGGAAAATAGCAATTTACTGTGCGAGGTTTTGAATTTTCTTCATTTTCCACCAAAAATTTCCAGTGTTTTAACGGGGTAAGTGAGAAAAACTTTAATTTTATCAAGTAGGTTTTGGAATGTCATTTTCGTGTTTTTTTTTTGGAATTTTTATTTAAGATTTTTAGGGTCCGGGGATCGTTTTCTACCACTTTTTTTCTCGAAATTCGCAAAATAAAAAAAATAAACTTTTTTGATGTTAACAGCTGTCAAATTTTTTTGACACAAATCGATAGTTGGCGTTGTGAAACTGCCTTGTACCGGGGTTTGATTTTTATACTACACCTTTTCCATAAGTATTTCAGAATGTATCACTTGTATTTCAGATTCATCAATTCTAATTCAGAATGCGTCAATTGTATTTCAGTTGTGTAAGTTCAATTTCAGAAAGTGTTATTTGTATTTCAACTTTGTCAGTTGTAGTTCAGAAAACATCATTTGTGTTTCAGATTCGTCAAGTGTATTTCAGAAAAAGTTATTTGTATTTCAGTTTGGTCACTTGTATTTCAGAAATCGTCATTTGTGTTTCAGATTATTTATTTGTAGATCAGAAATTGTAAATTGTATTTCAGAATTCGTCAAATGTATTTCAGATATTATCAATGTAGTGTATTAAATAAAATTTATAATGATTCACCTATACACCTATCTTGTGTTGATTTGGGGAAATCTGCGTACATACTTACTAATTTCCGAACTACATCTGACAATTTCTGAAATACAATTCACGTTTTCTGAACTACAATCAACTTATCTGAAATACAATTGATGATTTCCGATATAAAATTAACTAATCTGAAATACAATTGACACTTTCTGAAATAAAATAAACTAATCTGAAATACAATTGATTCTTTCCCAGATAAAATTATTTATTCTGAAATACAATTGACGCTTTCCGAAATACAATTTACTAATCTGAATTTCAATTGACGCATTCTGAAATTAAACTGACGATCTCTGAAATACATATGGAAAAGGTGTAGTAGAGCGGGGAAAAAGTCGAACATGTGTCAAATTTGACAGGTGACATCTATCGATATTGCCAAAGTGTCGTGCGACAAAAGTTTTATCCGAACGAACCCGTTCATTGTTAACTGATTTTTCATACTCCGGCCCTTCGGGCCGTAATCTTTGAAACAAAAAGACGTCATTTTGTATCAATTGTCAAAAAAACCCAAGGTTTGAAATTTCAATTTTTTAACGTTTGTTGTATCATGAACAGTGTTGCCATATGTTTTTTTTTTTTCAAATCTCGAGCTCGAAGGGTCGAGATTATAGGTTATTTTAAAGCCAATCAAGAGCCGGGAATATTCAAAATTTAAAGCCAATCAAGAGCCGGTAATAATCAAAATTCGAATCCCCAAACCAATCAGGAGCCGGGAAAATTCAAAAAGTCGAATTCCAAACCCGACGGGAAATTGAATTTTTTTACTAACTGTTTTTTGGAAAAAACAAAAGAATTTTTTTTTGAGATTGACAGCTGTCAAAATTTTAAAAAACCTACATGGGCACTGGGCATATAGATTTAGCCTCGGCGAATACGTAGGAAGTACCAATTTTTTTTTTTTCAACATATGTCAAAAAAGACATTCTTCGTTGCCAGGCGGTTGGTTTTCGATATATATCAATGAAACTTCTTATTTTAGGGTTTTCGGAGCATGAGGATCGTTTTCTGACATTTGTTTTTTGAAAAAAAGAAAAGGTAAAAATTTTTGACATTGACAGTTGTCAAAATTAAAAAAAAAACCCACATGGACATATAGATTTAGCCTCGGCGAATACGTAGAAAGAAGCCAAACAGGGGCCAATTTTTTGATGTTTGTTGTATTATAAGCAGTGTTGCCATATGTTTTTTTTCAAATCTCGATTCTGGAAGGCTGAGGTTATCTCAATTATGAGCTCAAAGGGCCGAGGTTATACGAGTCCGAAGGGCCGGAATCATGCGAACCCGAAAGGCCGGAGTTATACGAGCCCGACAGGCCGGAGTTATTTTAATCATGAGCCCGAAGGTCCGAAGTTATACGAGCCCAAAGGGCCGGAGTTATACAAACCCGTTCATAGTCAACTAATTTTAATACTTCGGCCCTTCGGATCGTAATCTTTGAAACAAAAAGACGCCATTTTATATCGACTGTCAAAAAAAACCAAGGCCTACTTTGATATTTCAATTTTTTGACGTTTGTTGTATCATAAGCAGCGTTGCCATATGTTTTTATCAAATCTCGATTTATACATTATTTTAAACCCATCATTGACATTTCTGAAAAATATTTCCTTTAAAATTCCCAAATATCCTTTGGAATCCCCAAAAATCTATTAAAATCTCAGAATTCCATAATTTAGTGAAATTTCGGTAGAATAATTACTTATGTTATTCTGAAAAAGGAATTAGATGAGAAATTTCTGTGGAGTTTCCATACAATTCACATTAAATTTTGATCGAATTACACGAAATCCTAAATGAATTACATGGAGGAATTTTAAACAATTACATGAAATTACACCCAAATTCCCAACATGAAATTTCAGTTTTTTACTGAATTTTAGTAATGCCGAGGAATTTTTAGCTAAAAACATGGAATTTCGGTGATATTCCGAAAAATTACCATGTAATGACCTGAAATTTCAATATATTTCGATGATTTTTTAAGAAATTACTTGAAACTTCATTAATATTCCCAGAAATTCCTGGCTATTAAAAGAGAATTTCAGTGAAATTCCGAAAAATTCTTATGAAAATAAATTAAATTTTGAAAATTCCTTGAAGTTTCATTGAACTTTCGAGAAATTTTCGATTATGAACGTGGATATTCTCATAAAATTTTAGTAAATTCCGAGAAATTTTTAAGAAATTACATGAAATGTCAATGAAATTCGGTAGAATTTTATGAAAATTTTGTGGAATTCCAGGATGGTAAAATTTTGAGAAATTTTTGTAAAGTTAAAAAAAAAAAAATTTGGAATTTTGAAATTGAAATCTTAGTGGAATTCCGAGGAATTTCATGAAATCCTATACTGTCATTAGCCTCCTCACTTGAAATAGTCACGAGCCGCCACTGAACGACATGAAACTAGACTTTCTCGTGATTAGAACGGCTTCCACACCTAAGTACAATACATAACGTATGCATTTTCCAAAAAAATCAACACTACAGACTTTATACAAATCAAAAATCGCAATAAAACGGATTTTTTTTTTAAATAAAAAGGCATTGGCCTCCATTTTGAATCTCATTTTGACAGGTCATTGGATTGCCCTATTAGAAATTCAGTGCTCGAATTCCCAAAAATTACAATCTACAGATTTGAAAAATAACAAGGCTAATATAATTTTTTCTCTTTTAATCAGGGACCCGCACTGAAATGAAAGAAAAATTCAATATGGCGTGGCGGCCAGCAAGTTTGTTTTGAATATGCGTTTTCATGCATATTTCAATTATTTTGCTTCGAGTTCTGCTTGCAAATTGATTTTGATCACTAGGTACGTAAACTATTAAGTCGGGCAGAAACTAGATATTTTTTTTGTGTTTTTTGGTTTATGTGTCGCCGCCACGCCATCTTGAATGTCACGTGGTTTGGATTGCCTAATGACAAATATGGGTTCCGTCCGTTACGGTTCCGGTTCTAAAAGAAATATTAATTTGGTTCGAACCAATAATTTCGGATTCATTATCAATGATGATACATTTTTGTGCTTTCGATCAATGATGACGTAAGCAGCGTGTCGTTTCTCGCCTTGACGTAGAGTGCTTGCACCACAAATTATGAGATGTTTTCTCGCGTCTCGAAACGAAACATTTTCCAAAACTGGTTTAAAACAATTTGGCAATGACGTCATAATTTCATCCCGAGAAAATCGTTTAAAAACCTGGATTGGATTGTATTTCGGTACAATTAGAACCAATTTTGATGTGACGTCATGAATTCATTGCGAAAATATACGATTTCAAACCTGTTTTGAACCAGTTTCAAAAAAGTGAACGCGAGAAAACAGCGCTGATTTTTGTTTTATGCATATTTGGATTTTGTAAACCGTTAACGAGAGCATTGATGACGTCGGCAACGGTGCAACACCATATGAACTTAATTTCAAAAATCGAGACCAATAAGCAGTCCTGTAGAAGTATGTAATATCCTTGGTTTAGCCTAGTCGAGTTTAGAAATGCGCGCTTTCCAACGCTCTGTTTTTTAAACTGTTAAATTTATTATACGACCAAACAGCAAACAGCTTAATTTATAAAATCTTGGAACCGAAAAATACCGGTAAAAACCGATTAAATTCTGTATACGAATTCTGGTTACGACGCGTTTTCAATGACGTCATCAACGACTGCCTGGATTTATCGTGAATCCCGGCTATTGGATTCAAAATTCAAAGTTGTGTTTCTCTTGACTTCGTTTACTTTTTTTACCCTACATAATAGTTCTGCCCCAATATCAATGAACATAATAAATATTATCATCTTGTATTACAATAGCCGGGATCCACGACAGGTTACCGGTGGTTGTTGATGACGTCATTGAAATCGCGTCATAACTGGGATTCATATGAATACCAGTGCCGGGAGGCTAGACACAGCGTTCAAGAAAAGTAAATTGTGAGTAGTGATGTAGCATAAATGCTCAGATATCGATTGTAATGTAATATCGCTTGATACTATCGATTCCAATACAATTAGGCAATCCAATCTATCTGTCAAAACAAAAATTCAATATGGCGTGGCGGCCAAGCAAGTTTGTTTTGAATATGTATTCTTCTGCGTATTTTAAATTTTAATTATTTTGCTTCGAATTTTGATTTTAACTACAAACGATGCCCGCGCGCGATGTTTGACCCATTTCCCAATAGATGGGTACAGTCCAAGAATCGTAAATTCTACAGGATTGCTCAATCCCATTAGACATACGTTCATGAAAATATCGAACATGGAGGACTGCGAGTGACGTCACGCCAGTCCTTGATCGGTTTGTTTTTTATTATGACAGTGCATTTTTCTTGCATTTTCAAACGTGAAAAATTGTTATTTTGAGGTTATTTCCTTTGAAAATTGTGTTTTTTAAATTAGGCAGACTTCAAAAGTTTGTGTGCTTGAATCTTGAGTCTTTTATGCTTACACACTTCTCTTCAAGACTGTAGCAGTGATGTTTTCACCCCTCCCACCGGTGGGAGGTATTGATTTTCAAAAATACCCTGAGGGCGAAGAAACAATGGTCCTATCGAGCTTTATTGAAAAAAAAAATACAAAAGTCCCTATCTAAAAAGCAAAGGGCCCTAGGAGCCCCAGAAATTTTTTTCTGGCCGATGCAAATCCAAGTTTCAGCCTTGTACGACCTACTGGAAAGGTTTTAGCCCGTATTTCCCCAATTTTGAAAAAAGGCGTGTAATGGTGCATACCCGTCCTGCATTTACTTTTCAAAATTTCGAAAAATAAAAAATACCATCGGATAGAGGAGCAAAAAATACGTCGAAAATGTCTCTAGGCGTTTTTCGCTCCGACGCTTCCTAAGCCCGCAAAAAATTTAAAAAGATTTGGATCCTGGAAAATTTTAGGAACCTGACACGGAGCCACTTTTTCGTTTATAACTTTGATAATTTTGAACAGATTGTCTCGAATCAGGTTTCTTTTGAAAGAGAATCAAATTGCCTGAATGCACCATAAAGCTCCTCCATTCCTCTACATAGAAGGTTCGCCCGGAGTGCGTGAATGCTTCCATTTCTCTATTTAGAAAATGGCATCGGATAGAGAAGCAAAAAATACGTCGAAAAACTTCTATGACCCTTCTCGCTACGGCGCATCCTACTACCGGAAAAAAATAAAAAAAGAAAATGTCAATTTTGGTCAGAAGAAAATTGTGGGGACCTTACACGACGCCCCCTTTTCGTTTATAACTCCGCAACCAGTCATTACGAGTCTCATATTTTTTGAAAGAGGATGAAATTACTTACAAAATGTCTTTTTTATTGAGATTTCAGGCCATTTCCTTCCTCGAAATATAAACCATCAAAGTTGAAATTCTTTGTAATTTTGCTAAAATTTACGAGGTCGATTTTCTCGGAAACGGTGCCCCGTGGAGGGATACTTCTTATGGGCTTTTTTGTAGTACTCGACGAAATCTACAAGTTTTGTATTTGAAGTTTTTTTCCTGGGCTTTTCGTTTTCGAGTTAGAACGTTTTGAAAATTTAAAAAAAAAATCAAAGGATGGATCTTTTTGGCGAAAAAATTCAAAATTAAAATTTTGGGATTTTTTTGTGATGATGGTCTAGAGTAGACCGTAAATATTCCCGACACGGGTTCAGTCTATATATTTTCTCGTTTTTTGTCACGTGGTTTGAATTGTTTAATATCGATGATCTGAAACATCGATGTTCACTGTTGAGGTTATGTTTCTGTGTTCACTTTTTGGTTTTCTTGAATTATAAAAAAACAATAGTCCTTTTCACGTGGCTCCGGTTTAACAAACCGCAACATATCGCTTAAATTCGGGTGGTATCGATGACGTCACTTTTTAATCAGCAGAAAAAATTGTGACAAATGTAAACTTAAATAAAAAATTGTGTGTTTCGATTTTCTACCTAACTAATTAATTGCTGAACATAGGCCACGTTTAGAAATTAGCTCTGAGAGCATATCGATGATAAGTTTGACAATTGTCACGTGTTTACCTTATGTAGAATCAAGGTGAAATCACGTGTAAAAGATCTGTCGCATTTGCGATAGTATTTCCGAATTCGCCTTTTAAGATACACGTAAAATTTTGGTGCAGTTACTAGAGGGTACATCAACCTATTATACCTAACCTCAAATCGAATTAGTTTCAATGACGTCATCACTTGACATACACGCTACTAACCATTTCGTAACCCGGTTAGTTTAAACCGGAGCCACGTGAAAAGTTCAAATGGTTTAAAAGTCAATAATCTTGGAACCCTATCATTCAATGCAAGATTCGCCGCCATTTTGAATTAAACTGCTGGACAAATGAAACGGAACAAGCAAATTTTTAGTTTAGATTTGGATTCCAATATTACGCGAACTAAAGAGGATATCAATGAGTGATTTGCGTAATTTAGAAGTTGATTTTCGCAAATCGTTCATTGATATCTTTTTTAGTTCGCGTAATATTGGAATTCAAATACAAACTAAAAATTCGCGTGTTCCGTTTCATTTGTCCAGCAGTTGAGTTCGCTTGGGCTAACATCCTGGGGTTAAGTATTTTTCAATAAGTTCTCACCAAGGTTCTCACAATCAAATAAAACAAAGTTGTACTGTAAAAATTCAAAAAAGTAATTTATGAGAAGAAGCAGTGCTCAGGAAGCTGAGAAACATATTGTTTTCTCAGTATTCCTAGGTATTCCCAAGTATTTTTAGGTATTTCTAAAGTATTTCTAGAAATTTCAAAGTATTTCTAGCTATTTCCAAGTATTTCTAGGAATTTGTACACCGATTTCCTTTGTACTGCCTATAACTTCCAGTACCATTTGTGCTCGAGACTAGGGTGGAAATGTCCATATTATTTTCACAAAAACCATTTTTTCGTTGAATCGCAATTATCAGTTTCACCCCCTTAAACCACCCTCAAAGTTATTTGCAAGTTTTTTTAAGTACCCTTGTGCGAAATTAAAACTGGAAAATCCACAGGTTTCTGATAGAATAGTAATCGATGAAAGATTTTAAATTGAAATTGGAAGATATCGAAACTGAAAAGGATATTTTTTCACCTTACCTGGCTTTACTTTCAAACTCCACTCAGTTGGCCAGCTCTTTCAGGAAGTTCAAGTCCAATGCGAAGGAGTGCAAACGAAACCGTCTTGATTTAACCGGTCGCGGCAAACGTAAAACCGCAGGTCTATTTTCTCGAACCACGCGAAACGGACGGGTATGTATAAGAGAAACATATATATATTCCGCAATATCGAATATCGATATGTTAATGTTTTGCAACTACTGCCATCGATACTGAAATATCGAATATCGAAGGTAATGACGTCAATGTTCACGTTACATCGATGTTCAACTCCACTAATTGTGAGAGATTTATCGTTAGTAATTCTAATAACATCTGTATACTTTTTCCAAAAAAAAAAACGATTTTTTTAAACTGCTGCGTAAACGCAGGCTCAGAAAGTGACGTCACTTTCCGAAAAATGCTAGGATGCCAAATTTCTCATTAGTAAATCATTACTCAACTCACTATATATTTAAAAACTATTTTAGTCCTTCATGGTCGTGGTCCTTCACTACGTTATAAACGGTTAAGAAAAAGACAGAGATAAATTAAATAGAGACACAAACTTTGATAATTCCCCTGGGAATTTTTTTAACCTCTTGTTAAACTTTGATTACCTTTCCTATCTTGAAATAAAAATCAGTATTAGCTTTTTTTTCAATTATTAGGCATCAAACATAATTCAAAAAATTAACACCTACGCTCATGATATTCCAGCTCCGCCTACTAGAGGGCGGAGACTGGCAACCATAGGCGTACCGTTAATTTTTAAAAAGCACATTTATAGGGAATTGTTTTGGTTATTGGTTATTGGTTTAAGATTCGACTGTGATTAAATCGAGCCCCATAAAACAATGAAGGGGCTCAGCCCCCTGAGGCTAGTCCTGGGCCTCCTGACGTGGGGAGGGGTGGCAGTGACGCAACCGGGACCTTGCGACCGTAGCCGCAGAGTTTTGACAGCTCCGAGAGGTGTTCTGAGCACCGGACCGCTCGGAGCCAATTATACGCAGGTAATTTCAATTTCTACACCAAACTTTTTGAGTTGCACTGAACTATGATTTTAAACAATTCAGGACAGTCATTGCGAATGGCTAATCAAATCCAACAGTTCCGAACGCTTCATTTCGCTCACATTCCGAAGCATGGGAACTGAGTGCGCCTATGACTATGTTTTTGTTTACGACGGCTCGTCGTTTGCCGCTCCGCTGCTGGGCAGTTTCAGCGGTCGGACGGCGCCGCCAAAAGTTACCGCCACTTCTGGCAGCATGCTTTTGTTACTCTACAGGTAAGAATTAATCATTGAAATAGTCATTCATATTTAAAAACCAAAAATTATATTTAAAGTGATACAAATTATGTCTTGGACGGTTTCCGGGCCGAGTACACCATTTCGGCTTGTCCAGGCAATTGTACAGGGAGGGGTTATTGTTTGAAGGGCAGATGCGTTTGTAATGGGGCCGAATGGGGCGGCGCCGATTGTTCCAGAAGGCTGTGTCCGAATGGTAAGTGTCACTTTAGTGCCTCTTATTATAAACCAACGAGTATCATTATTTAGATTGCGGACGTCACGATCGGCCTGTCAAAGGTCACTGCAACAAAGGTCGCTGCCTCTGCAGGTCGGGGTATTCGGGTCGTGCTTGTTCTCTTCCCGAAAGAGACCCTTCGGGTAATAAGTGGCACTATTTGGCTCAAACTGGAGAAGGCTTACGGCCTAGAGCCGCGCATTCGGCTGTTTACGTTGACATCACAGATTCCTTGTACGTTTTTGGAGGCTACGACTTAAATCAAGTTTTATCTGATTTAGAGGTAAAACTTATTTGAAAAATGTGTCTAGTTTCACAAAACATTGATTTAGGTTTACAACTTTCAAAGTAGCAGCTGGAGAGATTCAGAAGGAAACGAGCTAATGGATTGGGAGTCTGTAGACAGGGTGGAGCCTGGTGAAGCTGCCGATTTTATCGCTCAACAAGGCTTCGAAAGATTGGGACTTCCGCGTAAATCGCTTCTGGGCAGCATTTTCTACGCAGTAGGAGACAATTCTAGCAAGTTTATGCGCAGACAACGGCACAGCGGAGGCGGTTACATGGAAGAAGTCCCAGAAGGACCTGCAGGTAGATACGGTCACGCCGCTTGCGCTGTTGCCAACGGTTTTGCGATGTTTGGAGGCAAAATGGCCGATGGTTCATTGGCTAGTGACTTATGGTATTACAATGTCCAAACTCGTCTTTGGCACCTGCGCGCGCAATTTTCCACTCGCCGACCTCCTCCTCTAACAAGACATACTTTAACTTGTGTCAACGATACCATTTACCTTTTCGGTGGTAGTACTCCGGATGGGGAATTTTCCTCGGAACTTTGGAGGGTGAAGCTACGTCCAGATGATACTGAACAGTGGGAGGAGGTTAGAGCTAGAGGCGGTAAACAGCTGGACATAAGAGTGGTGGCCCACACAACAGTCTACCACAAAGCTACCAATTCGCTAGTGGTTTATGGCGGTATTGTAGCCGGCGTTGCCAGATTTTCCAAATTGTCCGATAAAATGTTTGCCTTTCAATTAGACCACAAACATTGGACCGAAATTCATTATACTCGGGAACATTTACGGGAAAAATATGTGCCTAGAGAAAGGGCGTTTCATTCAGCTAACGTTTTTGGAAATTATCTGGTGATTTTTGGTGGTTACTCGCACAGGCATAATAAAGAGGAGATTTGCTACGACAATCAAATGTACTTGTACCATTTGGGCTGTCACACTTGGGTGAATCCGGACATTTTAGGCAGCAACAACGAGTCAAGGTAAGAATAATTTGTGATTCCCTTTTGGTTTCAATAACTCACCATCAACTTTCCGTTTGGTTTCTTGTCCTAGTAAAATTAGGGATATATAAATTTATATGTTAGTAGCAAATTGCAGGAGCATTAGACAGCCCAAAAGGCATCCTTTCGAAACTAAAATATCTAGATCTGTAGAATTAAGGGAACAAAGTATGGCATAACCGTAACAATTTGCCGGAGCGTGTTCCAATTTCGTTTAAAATTCCAGATACCCAAAACAACAAGGCGTTTTCGCGCATGCGTCCAGCGTCCGTAACTCGCACACTCTAATCTTAGTTGGCGGGTACCACGGCAACGTCAACGGTGATCTTTTAGGCTGGACCGTCCCGCCATATTTGCGCGGAATCCCCCCCAAAGCCTGCGCGCTCCATCAATCTTTCGGCGAATGCTCGGCCGATCCCGAGTGCGGTTGGTGCAGCGCCGATGACCGATGTTATGGTCGTACCGTTGGTGCCAACTGCACCACTAACCTGCAAACCGCTCGGTGTCCAGGGGTGTGTCCAGCTTTACAAGACTGTCATTCTTGTCTGGTGCATGGGCATTTGCATGGCGGAGAAGAACCGTCTTCGGCAGCTTTCAGGTTAGGTTTGGGCGAATGTTCTTGGTGCGTCCAAAACGCTCGATGTCATCCTAGAGATGATCCGCACGGTACTTGTGGTTCGCAAGTGGATAGTCCGAGTCAGACTCTGGGCTGGTGGGGGCCTACTGGACAAGAGATCAGGCAGCCGCAAGATTGTGCCAATTTGGACCGCAGGCCTGGACTAACTTACATCAAATATAGTCATCCGCCTAATTTTTCGCAGCCTGACAGTGTTGCCACATTAAATGCCACTACTATTGGTAAGTTATAAGTAGAGTTTTGTGAATCTTCAATAAAGAGTTTGAAACTTAGATTATAATGGGGGTTTGAGTATTTCACCGCGCAGTGACAACGTTTCCGGTAAAATGGTGGCCACTTTGACGGGTTTTTTACGTTTGCCTCCATCTTGGAAGGAAACTCTTAAAGTTTGCTCCAGCTACTCCTCAGCCACTGTTACTTTGGGTGAAAAAACGGTAGCCAATTTTACAACTGAAACAAAAATTTGTAAGGATTCAAAATGGCCCGATGGGGTGCCAGAAGAACGGATTCCTGTTGACTTTTTGAGCATCAAAACGTTGGGGCCACTTTTCAATGCTCACCAGCAAAGTCGGATGGAGTTGCAACACTTTAAGCCGGATGAGACACCAAAGGTGAGTTTTGGTTTTGGGAATTTTTAGTATTAGTTAACAATAAAGAATAACAAGTGTATGAATTCTTTATACATACATATGATTTTCACTTAAGTTAAGAAGGAGGGTAAGCAAATTTAACAATGGGTGAAGTTGTCCACTCTCAATACTGCTAGATTTGTACACCATCAATATTCTGTCTCAGGTTTTCACCTTCGAATATCTCGAACCTTACGCCAACGGCACTTGTTCCCAATACGCCAACTGTCTCCACTGCCTGACCGATTCTCAATGTGGTTGGTGTGAGCTGACATCCTCCTGCCAATCACGCACTGATAGTGAACAAGAAACTTGCTCGCTGGACGGCGATTGGCGCTACTTGACCCTTTTGCCCGGAATGTGTCCCAATTGTAGCAACTTTATCTCGTGTTCTTCCTGCGTCCAAACTGAGTTATGTGAGTGGTGGGTCGAAGAAGCCCGATGCACCAGAATTGGACAAAGACAAGGCTCTGTTGTAATTGCTGATGAGTGTCCCACTCCCTGTTATCAAAGAAGCGGCTGCGATGATTGTCTAGATCAGAAAGGCAGATGTGTTTGGTGTCAGGCGACTCAGAAATGTTTTAGGTGAGCAATCAGCAACTAGTAGGTCATTAATTTATTAATTCAAACAATAGTTTCTCAGTTTACACGAGTGAATATCAGTTTGGGCTTTGTCGCGAATGGTTGGACCAATCTTTTCCGTTAATCACCGCTCACGAAAACAGCTCGCTAACCCACAAACCACAGGAGCAGTGTAAAGCTTGCGCTGCTCACACTAATTGTTCGGCCTGTCTGAGTGCTCTGAGTTGTGGCTGGTGTCATGATGCGTCTAATCCGATGTCTGGGGCATGTGTTAGAGGTGACTTTCAACAGCCTCATGTCAACTGCTCTACTGCTCTAGGAGGCAAGGAGGCCAAGTGGGCCTATGCTCAATGTCCAGATGTAGACGAATGTGGCTTAGGTTTGCACGACTGTCATCCTCAAGCCGAATGTACCAACACTGACGGGTCTTTTAGCTGTCATTGTAGAAAAGGTTACATTGGTGATGGTAGGTCTTCTTGCGTGCGAACTTGTTATAACGTTTGTGTTCACGGTACTTGTCAAGGGGAACCCGATTATAAGTGTTTGTGTGATATTGGGTGGTACGGGGATGATTGTAGTAAAAATTGCGGCTGCAACAATCACTCGTTTTGTCCTAATGGCTATCAGCAATGTGACGAGTGCCAGGACAATACTGTAGGCGACTTTTGTCAATTGTGTCACGCGGGAAGTTACGGTAATGCTACATCTGAAACAGGGTAAGTTAATTTGTGTGTGGGTTGTTGCACAGATGTTAATTAAGGATTTCAGATGTAAGAAATGCGAGTGCAATGGCCACGGCGATTTGGATAAGGGCGAGTGCGATATTGAAACTGGGGAATGTTTTTGTCAGGATAATACGGAAGGTTTTCATTGCGATAGATGTCGTCCTAATTATTCGGGTGATCCGAGGAATGGGCAACAGTGCTATTATCAGTGTGAAGCTAGAGGAGTTTTGACTGAGCCAAAAGTAAGACCGTGAGATAGGGTACTGTTGAGTAGAGCTGCAACAGTACCCTATTTCACATCACTTAATTGTCAATCATTTCAGGGTCAAGGTATTAGTTCGCTTCAAAATTACTCCCCACCCAGAGGCGGACCTCCAATCAGAGAATGTCTATGGATTATTAAACCAGATATTGACTTCGGTACTCCAATAATCCAACTGCGAATGAATTTATCTCAATTGAATGTAACTTGTGGTGAAAACGCTGTTTACGTTTACGACGGTTTACCCGAACTAGTCGATATGGGTAGTCAAAGTGCGTTAACCGCTGTTTTTTGTACTGAAGAAGCCCTATCGACAGCGGTAGTGGAATCTAGAACTGGTCACTTGACAGTTCACTACAAACAAGGCCCCCCTAATGAAAGTTTCAGCGCCCTCTACAAGGTAATCAGTTGCGACTCCTGTGTGTCGCCTAGAGAGTGCCGCGCAGGTCAATGTCTGTGTAAAGAGGGCTTCGTTGGGCCAGATTGCGCAGAGGAAATTTGCCCGGAAAATTGTAGTTTTGCTTTGGGCAGGGGGAGCTGTGACAAAAATTATGGAAGGTGTTTGTGTACTGATGGATGGACGGGACCGGCGTGTAATATCACGTAAGTGTATTAAAAATCTACAACTCTTTTAATGGAAAAATAGTTGAAGATTTTTCTTCTTTTCATAGCTTTAATTTGTGGACTAGGTTTGAGTTTCTGTAAGTAACTGGCTCAAATATACATATAAGAGTTAAATTTTAATTGACTATTGAATTTTGAGTAAAGGTGCAACACCGGTTCTAGCGCAAAATCGGTCATTTTTACATGTAAATCTCCATTAGGAAATCTAAGGTCCATTCTGCACTTTTTTCTACCATTTTGGAGCGGGGGTAAAATTTCAAGGATTCGAGACAATCTGTTCGAAATTACCAAAGTTATAAGCGAAAAAGTGGCGCCGTGTCGGGTTCCAAAAATTTTCCAGGATCAAACTTTTTTATTTTTTTCCGGGCTTAGGAAGCGTCGGAGCGAAAAACACCAAGAGACATTTTCGACGTATTTTTGGCTCCGGCGGTATTTTTTATTTTTCGAAATTCGGAAAAGTAAATGCGGAACATGTATGCTCCATTACCAAAATTGGGGGAAGAGGGGCTAAAACCCCTGCGGAAGTTCGGAGAGGGCTGAAACTTGGAATATCAACTTTTCTGGACCCCTTTCACCTATATTTTGAATTCCATCGGAATCGGCCAAAAAAACTAATATTTATGGGCCTCCCGTATTTTTTTTTTTTTTTTTTTTTCGATAAAACTTGTTCTTCAATAGATTTGTACCAAATTTCAGCTCGATAGGATCATCGGACATATAATACCCCTACTTCAGAATGGTACAAAAAAGTGCAGGACCTTAGATTTTCTTATGGAGATTTACATGTAAAAAGGCGCTAGAACCGGTGTTGCACCTTTACTAATCTACTTTTTTTTTAAAGGGAAACCAAACTTCAACTTGTCTTTTCCGAGCTCTTCAATACCGAACGGTTGTCAGACAGTTTTGAGCACTTGCGCAAAACTCTTCCGCGGTTCGGTCATTCTTTAGTCTCTGACCGAAGAGGCTCTTTGTGGATGTTCGGCGGTTATTCGTTGAGTCACGGCCCTTTAAACGACATCAGGATGTTTGACACTAAAAACATCAGTTGGATGCAGGTAAGAATGGATTTCTGTCAATAATGTCATATTATTATGCTATTCGGGGCAGAGTCAAATACAACAAATCAAAAATCATAAAAATCAGTCCAGCGGTTTTTGAGTTATAAACGGTGTAACTAACCTCTGACTTATGTCTGACAGGTTACTGTAGAATCGACTCCGGACGCTAGGATGCCGCAAGGCCGTTATTTCCACGGTGCCGACATTGTCCACTCAAAACAATCAATATACGTTTTCGGAGGTCTGACAAAAGCACCGAAAAACTCAAAAAATCGCACCCTAAACGACTTTTGGCAGTTTGATATTCAAAATCAACGGTGGGGTGAAATGGAATCGCCTTTTGGGGAACTGAAACTTTTGTCGCGCTATTGGACTTCGGAAAAATGGCCTCCTGCCGTTTACGGACACACGCTGACCCACTACCGGAATGCTGACAGGGAAGAGTTTTTAGTGCTAGTAGGCGGCGATTCGCCTCATTACGGTTTCCTCAATAGTGTATGGGAATATTCAATTGAAAAGAATTTATGGAGGCCGGTGCCTACCAAAGGTAACGGCCCACCGGGTATTTTCGGTCACACAACCGTCTTTCATTCGCAAACCAACAGTTTGTACATATTTGGAGGTTATGTTTATGACAAGCAAGTCAGCGAAATGTCAAACAGCCTCTGGCGGTTGGAGTACGAAACTAAAACGTGGATAGAATTGACAGGCAGCAGTTCTCGTAACGCGGTGAGTGACGTCACAGCGATGTTGCCAAACTTGTTGATAAATGTTTGTTTTTATTTAATTAGCCGAAACCGAGATTTTTCCATTCGGCTGTTACGACTGATCATTACATGCTCGTCTTGGGCGGTAGGATTTTTCCTTGGAACATCACTGACGCTCTCTATGCCTTTTCCTACAGTTGCAACCAGTGGATTAATTTAATGACAGAATGTAAGTAAAATGACATTTTGATGTTGATTGACAAATGACGTGTGATTCATTGTTTATCTGTCAACTTTTTATGATTGAAATCCAAGGTTGTTTGAGAGAGGTAGGTTGCCTAATAACTTTTATAATGTCATCTGCGATGTCTCAGCATAAAGCACATCACCATCCCAAATGACGTCATCAAGTTACCCCTTACCAAAAAACCTATTAACTTCAGAAATCTTGATTGAAATCGCGAAATCGACTTGACATTTAACAAAGCTGTTTGAAAAAATGTACCTAAGTGCGGTGTCACACTTATGCGTTTTTGACGCTGCTGCAAGAAGGGATGCGGACCAGATGAACTTTACTTGTCACAAAATCCAATCGGGATATGTTTTAACACTGAGACATGCGCAAACTTTCTTTCTCATTCTTTCGGTATCAATTATAGCACTTGTTAGGTAAAAAACTATATTTCAGCTGTGGAAAAAATCGGTCCTTATCCGAAACAAACTTACGCTCAAGCGATGACCATTGAGCCAGACGGCGATGCCGCTTACGTCATTGGCGGATGGGGAATCGAAAGTGAAACTTCCGTTTTGAAAATAGGTAAATCAATGTTGTCAATTTTACTGATTCTCAAGTTTGTAACAACGTTGTCAATTTTCGTTAGAATTACCAATGGACATTTGTAACTTGTTCTCATCAAAATCCACCTGTCTGAGGGTGCCAGGTTGCGGATTTTGCGCCAACCAACTAAACAACGCAACCATGTCTCAGATTTGTCACAGGAACACTTTAGAATGTCCTTTGGACAATGGTAACGGTAAGTTAATTTCTATTGCAAATAACTCGGTGTACAATAATTGTACATAATCAAAGGATCTCGCCTGACAAATACCGGTCACGTGTGCGAAAGCTCGAACCAATACCCGAGCAGTAACTGCACGTCGATCACAGATTGCGCCACCTGCAGCCTGACACCTGGTTGTGTTTTTTGCAACGGCACCAACTCGTGCGTCAACTCTATTGAAACCGAATGTGCCGCACAAGTATGTCCTTTTACCAAATGCCTTGCCACTGACTGCCTCCAGTGTCACCAACTGCCCGGCTGCGAATGGAACATTACTAGAAAAAAATGCGAAATTTGTAAGTCAATCTAGTAACTCATACACTGTTGCCAACAAAATTATTCTAGCCCTTTCTACAAAAGAACCCAACTCAGTAAATCAATGCATCTCCCACTGTGCGTTTCACCAATCGTGCGGCGATTGTCTCTTAGCTCCGGGCTGTCATTGGTCGACAGGGCTGCGCGAGTGCGTCAGCTCGGCTGCGCAACCGGCTTACTGCGCGGGAGGCGTGTGCGGATTGGTTTTGGAAGAAAGCGACTCCGCCCACTGTCCGGAGCCGTGCCACGCCTTTACGCAATGCGCGAGCTGTCTGAGGCACGGGCCTTGCGGTTGGTGCGCGGCGCCGGGCGAGGGGGGCGACGGAGTTTGCGCAGAAGGCAACAGCGAACGGCCGATGAAAGGAGATTGTTTTAAGGTTATGGACGAGGGAAGGAATTTGCTGGTAAGTAACACAGAAAAATAATTCAAAGTTCTTTTCTGCCCTCTAGAGGAGAGTCTATAAACATTTGAGGGACCGAAACTGCTTAGTGAGTCTTGTCATGTCGGTATTACAGATGTCTTATTTGGGCGCCAAATTCAAACGTTGAGCCTACTTTGTCGCCTGTCAAATTGTCGTGTTATCGAGGAAGCGATATCGATGCTTTGCCAACTTAAAAACAAATCTTGTTATTATTACAGGCTCTTGAATTTTCCTTATTTGAAGACATTTAGAGAATATCCAAGAGCCGGTAATAGACAAAAATTGAGACAAGTACAGAAATTTGATTCTATGCACTTGAAACAGCCAAAAGAAAATGAATTAAAAAAAAGTATTTTAAGGAAACGGCGGCCCCACGTTGGGCGCCAATTAATTTGCCACCATCAAAAGTGCAAAACAAATGTCTTTTTATTTCTTTCTTATACAAGTTGGTAAGAAAAGACATGAATACACTCAGTGCGCACTAACCTTTCCAATAGAATTCGTTATTTAGTATGAATAGGTTGTCCCTATTACTATTGCCAATGTGGTATGAGATTCATTGTTTTTGGATTTCAATCGAATTGGTCATTAGCAAACATTGCCCAGTGCAACGTTGCCGGGTCGTTGAATAATTTTTCAAATTCTAACTGCTAGTGAGTCTTGTTTCTCTCTTTATCTTGCCATGTCGATATTACAGATGTCTTATTTGGGCGCCAAATTTAAACGTTGAGCCTACTTTGTCGACTGTCAAACTGTCGTGTTGTTTCATCGACATCGATTAACAGCGTTGCCAACTTAAAAAAATATTGTTATTATTACAGGCTCTTGAATTTTCTTTATCTGAAGACATTTAGAGAAGATTCAATAGACAAAAATTGAGACAAGTGTAGAACAAATGTCATTTTATCTCTTTCTTATATAAGTTGGTAATAAATTGAACGAAACACGGTGTCGATTTAATGTCTGGGGTAACATTTTTTTTCGAGAGGCCCCACGTTGGGCGCCAATGTGAAACTGGGTTATGTCGGGTTCGGTGATCTCTGCACAAACGATGGTCGACGGTGATAGAAGTGTTGGATTCACATAAGCCTTGGGACCAATTAACACACTACACTTGATTTTCAATACATTTAATATCAATAATATCAAAATTTCATCAAAAACCTTGGTATTACAGATGTCTTGTTTTGGCGCCAAATTCAAACTTTGAAATTTTTCAAAGCCTACTTTGTCGCTTGTCAAACTGTCGTTTTGCTACATCGACATCGATTTACAGCGTTGCCAACTTAAAAAAATGTTGTTATTATTGCAGGCTTTTGAATTTTCTTTATTTGAAGACATTTAGAAAAGATTCAATAGACAAAAATTCAGACAAGTGTAGAACAAATGTCATTTTATCTCTTTCTTATATAAGTTGGTAATAAATTGAACGAAACACGGTGTCGATTTAATGTCTGGGGTAACATTTTTTTTCGAGAGGCCCCACGTTGGGCGCCAATGTGAAACTGGGTTATGTCGGGTTCGGTGATCTCTGCACAAACGATGGTCGACGGTGATAGAAGTGTTGGATTTATATAAGCCTTGATTTTTAATATATTTAATATCAATAATATCAAAATTTCATCAAAAACATTGTCGTTATTACAGATGTCTTGTTTTGGCACCAAATTCAAACTTTGAAATTTTTCAAAGCCTACTTTGTCGCTTGTCAAACTGTCGTTTTTGTTACATCGACATCGATTTACAGCGTTGCCAACTTAATAAAATGTTGTTATTATTACAGGCTTTTGAATTTTCTTTATTTGAAGACATTTAGAGAAGATTCAATAGACAAAAATTGAGACAAGTGGAGAACAAATGTCTTTTCATCTCTTTTTTATACAAGTTGGTGAAAAAAGACTCGAATACACTCAGTGCGCACCAACGCTGAATAGGTTGTCTCTGTCTTTATTGTCAATGTTGTAGGAGATTCATTGTCATTAGCAAACATTGCTTGGTGCAACGTTGCCACATTGTTAAATAATTCTACAAATCCCAATAGGAATCGGAAAGTGACGAAATCGAAGAGGAAGAAGAAGAAAACTCAAACGCCACCCTTCAGTACTCGTGGCACTACGTCAAATGTCCGAAAGAAAACGAGTGCCTCAATAATCACCACAATTGTGCGGAGGATTCAGAAATTTGCGTAGACTTGGATGATGGTTACGAGTGCAAATGTGGTGAAGGGTACAAAGCAGGCGCAGCTGGTTGCGAACCTGTCTGTCTTCAAGGTAAAACAACATTTTTCTGTTTGGAATAATTTACCTATAACCTAAAATTTCTAAGGTTGTGTCAGAGGTAGATGTGTGGCTCCCTCTGTGTGCGAGTGCGACTTTGGCTATGTAGGTGCCAATTGTTCCATCCAGTGTCTTTGTCATGGACATTCAAATTGTGAAGGACCTGACAAACTTGACAAATGTCTCGAGTGTCACAATAATACAATGGTAATTGACAGCTGCTAATTCATATGTCCAATCAATCTATATGGACAATTTTTGTTATAGGGTGACAGATGTCAGTTTTGTAAACCCTTATTTGTCGGAGACCCGGCCAATAGAACTTCTTGCGTGCCTTGTCTTGAATATTGTCATGGTCATTCGGCCTTTTGCGTGTCGCCCTCTGACGGCATCCAGCCTAATGACTATGTAAACGAAGAAACTTTACGTTTGACTTTGACAGAAGGGCCCAAAAATAATGCCAAATGTCTCAGGTAACTTCAATTATTGTTGTTACCTTGTCAAATTACTGACAGATTTAATTTAGGTGCTCAAATCATACAACAGGTGACAGATGTGACGAATGCATCGTGGGTAATTTCCGAGGTTCGGAAGAGTTGCAAGAGACTTGTAAGCCGTGCGACTGTCACGGGCACGGTTCCAAGTGTCATCCGGTGACAGGTGATCAATGTGACTGTCAAAATAATACCATCAGCGACGAGTGCGGTCAAGGTCGCAACTCGGCGCAGCCGTGTTGGCAGGTTCAGTGTTCGAGATGTAGGGAGGGTTTCTTGGGCACGCCCACTAACGGACGACAGTGCTACAAACAAATGTCAGTTGACAATAAGATGTGCTTTGATGCCAAACCTATTGGTAAGACTTGACAATATTTTTGTTTTAAATTTTCGTTTATTGTTTTGTCATATAGATGAGTGCAAAATGAAGCCTAAACCTCTACATCCGGGCGAATTGGTTTTTTTCGTTATCCAGCCTCGTTTTATGAACGTTGACATTAGGATTGTTATTGACGTGACGCAAGGACAGTTGAATGTTTTTATGAGCACCCATGATGACACTTATGTCGCCAAATCGAATTCCTCCACTGGACTGAACGATATCGTTAGAGAGGAAGGTTACAGGTAAGAAGTAGGACTTTTGAAATTTTGGATTTTGATTGGAAAACCGCAATGGGCGATGCCTGAAACCACAGATCTCATGATATTTGTTAATTGTGTGTCTGAATCTTTGTTGCCATGCCATTAGAAAATACAGGCAACATAGAAGAATAAGATACAATTTCATAGGCGCAACTAGGCTCCAAATTTGAGGGGTGCTCAGCATCCCCAAGCACCCCCCTAGTTGCGCCTATGTACAATTTACAGTGTTGCTAACCTCAATAACTGTCCCCAATACTAGTATCAAACGTGCACTTGTCTTTAGTAAAAAATTACATTGCTGATATTATCTTGGCGGATTACAGGTAAGTATTGTTGTGAGCTTTATCACAAGCGGAAAAAATGGATATTTGTAGCTGAGGCAACTTGGCAACGTTGCTTGGTATCTTAGTAGTTGTCCCACAAATAAACTACAGCAATATTTTTTCTATATAGGAACATTTATTTTGAAAACCATTATTACAGGACTTTAGATAACGGCACGGTAAAATCGGACGACATTAACAAGGAAGCCAAAGATTCCGATCTTCAAACTTACGTCACCATAACCAAACCGAAAACCATATTGACGGTGAAAAATCTGCAACACCGCCTCGTCATCACTCTGCCCGAGGAATACCACAAACTGGAAACTACCCGGTTTTTCCTCATTCTTCAATCAGCTGACGACCATTTGCCAGCTTACGGAGTCGTGTTTTCGCGCCAAGATCAACTACACATCGATTTGTTCGTGTTTTTTTCCGTGTTTTTCTCGGTGTTTTTCTTGTTTTTGGCCGCCTGTGTCGTCGCGTGGAAGGCCAAACAAGCGGCGGACGCGCGTCATGCCCGGCGCCGGCACGTCGTCGAAATGCTTCACATGGCCAAAAGGCCTTTCGCGTGCGTCACTCTCGACTTAAACGGTACGATTGTGTACAACAAAAAACATGGACAAAACCATATCAGGCCTGTAGCTGTTGAACCAACAGGTAAGAATTGGGCACTAGCTGACGTCACACACATAACCTTACTTTCGTTGGGGGGACAAACAATTTAACACACAGGCGCTACCTTGTCACCAATGACATAACGTGACTTTTGATAGGGGGACAAACATATCATTGAGGCTATGTGTGTGACGTCAGCTAGCACCTAATAGTAGAGTGCTCCTTTTAATATATTTTGACTTTTGTGAGCGCGTCGGAGTTACATGCTGAAATTTTCACAGAATAATACAAAATCAGAACGGGCAAAAGGGCACTATAATTAAAAATTGAGATTTTTGCATGAACATATAGAATATTAATATATAACTGTTTCCATACATTTCGTAATGGTAGATTATTCAAAAAAGCGGGTCAAAATTAGTGGAAAACAACCCTGACATCAATTCCAAATGCCCATTTTAAGCAGAAACAAAAATAAAAAATGTGACACTTGCAAAGTAAAATTTATACGAAAATCGGATTTGAAGAGTCACAAATCAACACACTCGCATATTTATCCTTTTCAATGTAACACTTGTAAAGCAAAATTTGAAAGACTCACCTATTAACACACTGAGATATTTATCCTTTCAAATGTGACCTCAACATAGAGATGATAGGACTATGACATCAGAAACTACCTTTCCATCTCCAGTATTCATGAAAATCATCATCTGATATCGATAACTTCCAATATTTTAAAGAGACTGGGGTTCTGACATGGTTTTTACTCCTGACCATCTCCTCACTATCACTCATATAAATGGGAGTATATCTTAATATGGATAATAACAGGATAATGAAGAAATTCAAGTAAAATTTAAACGACAAGGGAATTTGAAGAGTCACATGATAATGCATTTGGATATTCAACCTCTTGAATGTGACACTTGCAAAGTAAAATTTATACGAAAATGGGATTTGAAAAGTCACAAATCAATTCACTCGAATATTTATCCTTTTGAATGTAACACTTGTAAAGCAAAATTTAAAAAAAAATCATTTGAAGAGTCACCTATTAACACACTTAGATATTTATCCTTTCGAATGTGACCTCAACATAGAGATGATAGGACTTTGACATCAGAAACTACCTTTCCATCTACAGTATTCATGAAAATCATCATCTGATATCGATAACTTCCAATATTTTAAAGAGACTGGGGTTCTGACATGGTTTTTACTCCTGACCATCTCCTCACTATCACCCATTTAAATGGGAGTATATCTTAAGATGGATAATAACAAGATAATGAAGAGATTCAAGTAAAATTCAAACGAAAAGGGAATTTGAAGAGTCACATGATAATGCATTTGGATATTCAACCTCTTGAATGTGACACTTGCAAAGTGAAATTTATACGAAAATCGGATTTGAAGAGTCACAAATCAACACACTCGCATAATTATCCTTTTGAATGTAACACTTGTAAAGCAAAATTTGAAAGACTCACCTATTAACACACTGAGATATTTATCCTTTCGAATGTGACCTCAACATAGAGATGATAGGACTTTGACATCAGAAACTACCTTTCCATCTACAGTATTCATGAAAATCATCATCTGATATCGATAACTTCCAATATTTTAAAGAGACTGGGGTTCTGACATGGTTTTTACTCCTGACCATCTCCTCACTATCACCCATTTAAATGGGAGTATATCTTAAGATGGATAATAACAAGATAATGAAGAGATTCAAGTAAAATTCAAACGAAAAGGGAATTTGAAGAGTCACATGATAATGCATTTGGATATTCAACCTCTTGAATGTGACACTTGCAAAGTGAAATTTATACGAAAATCGGATTTGAAGAGTCACAAATCAACACACTCGCATAATTATCCTTTTGAATGTAACACTTGTAAAGCAAAATTTGAAAGACTCACCTATTAACACACTGAGATATTTATCCTTTCGAATGTGACCTCAACATAGAGATGATAGGACTTTGACATCAGAAACTACCTTTCAATCTACAGTATTCGTGAAAATCATCATCTGATATCGATATCTACCAATATTTTGGAGAGATTGGGGTTCTGACATGGTTTTTACCCCTGACCATCTCCTCACTATCACTCATATAAATGGGAGTATATCTTAATATGGATAATAACAGGATAATGAAGAGATTCAAGTAAAATTTAAACGACAAGGGAATTTGAAGAGTCACATGATAATGCATTTGGATATTCAACCTCTTGAATGTGACACTTGCAAAGTAAAATTTATACGAAAATCGGATTTGAAGAGTCACAAATCAACACACTCGCATAATTATCCTTTTGAATGTAACACTTGTAAAGCAAAATTTAAAAAAAAGTCTTTTTGCCCTTTCTGATTTTGTATTACCTTGGGATTTTGAATTAGCATAGTAAAACCTTCATTCTGTGCAAGTTTCAGAACCCTGATGTGCCCACAAAACTCATTTTAAGAAGGTTTTAACTGCGTTGGGCACTCTACTATAATTGAAGTTATCATGTCAATTGTACTGTCTAATCTAGGTGATGATTTGGCTGCTGTTGGTACAATTTTCGTGAGTCTCCCAGGAGGTTCGAATCTCCCAGTACAGCTGGTGCTGGCCTCGTCGCTGATATCGTACGTGAGACAGAGCGGCAATCGGAGGTGGCGATCTATACACGCCGCCCCGCCCACCTAAACTGACATCACAATACTCTCTAACTCGAATAACAAGCAACATCACTCTCTATCACTCCTTGTAAATGTTTTTGTCTATATTGTATAATCTCTGTTATTATTTATAAGAATTATACATTTGTTTTTATAGTTTTTCTTGTTTTATTTATTTACTTTTTGAATTTGTATATGCTTCACATGAGATTCGTACGGGAATCTGTTAATCAACCTTTGAAAAGTTGGAGGTGCATTTCGTAAGCCGAATGGCATTCGTGAGTAACGAAACAAAAGAACAGATGAGAAAAGTTCACTGTATATCTGATGTAAAGGTTTTAGATATTCATAATTCAAGGCCCTGCCACCATGTGGTTGCAGAATCTCCCGACAACATTGACAGGCCTTTCAGAGCATGTTGATCTAGAATATTAAGACAATCCTTATAGACCACAATAGTATCAATAAATGCTTCAACATCTCTTCTCGGACTTCCATCAAAACGGAACTTACATGCAGAAAAATTGGCTTGCACACTTACACTAGGCTGACTTACATGAACATTCTGTATATCTGTTAGGAGAGATTGCAGCATCTCTGGCGTCATAACAATTTGTTGATCAATAGGGCTTTCATCGTTATTATCAGTTATCTTGTCTAATTCTGAATTGTTTAGTACAATTTTTCCATTACGTAAAATCACACAGTTGAACTCTGATGTGGCAGGACATGTATGATTTTAAGACATGATATCGGTTTACATGCAAAACTGGATTTGCTCACAGGCAAAACTTACAGAATCATGAACAAACACCTTGAAATTGAGTTGAGTTGATTGAACGAAATACGGTGTCTAAAGTCACAGTTTTTTCGAGAGGCCTCACGTTGGGCGCCAATGTGACACTGGGTTGTGTTGGGTTCGGTGATCTCTACATAAACGATGGTTGACGATGACAAAAGTTTTGGATTTACATAAGCCTTGGGACCAATTAACACACTACACTTGAATTTTAATATATTTAATATCAATAATAACAAAATTTCATCAAAAACATGACATTTCAAGTTGTATTTTTTTTAAGATGGCGGCGTAAGAAGGTATTTTAACGAAAATTCAATATGGCGGCATTTTGAAGTAACCGATAATGTTTCCGTAAAAAAAATCATAATTTCTTGATTTGAAATTGTTTTAGATCAAATAAAAAAAACAAGGGTTCGCTCACAATGCAAATGCATTTTCTAAGAAATTTTGACCAGGAAAAGGTACTTATTAAATCCTAAAATTAAAGCTTGTCCAATGGCCTACCGGAAAATGTCTACCAAATGACAGGGGATTTGCAAAGCTTATTCCAGATGGCGCAAATGTTGGTGGAGGTCAAGCATCCTAACCTCATTCACATTAGTAAACAAGTTAAAGATGATGCATCAAAAATTGATAATGTCTCAATGTTGTTCGGTACCTTTATGTAATAATTCAAGAAATTTGGGTCATAGGTTTCCCAAAGAAAAAACACACTTGTGGTTCACTATATTGAATGACCCGTCATAGACGCCATAAATTATTCATGGTTGACATCGAGCTTCCAAAGTTCGTAAAGTTAATAGTTTGACTGATAATGTCATTGAAAAGGGAATTTCAAACTTTATCGGACTGTGTAAAAAATTATACAAGGTTCTATAGAAATTTCTTGGCTTCGGTCCTTGAGCAACCAGAAGCGATATTCAATTGGTTTTTGTACGAAAACGACCTAGTTTATCATTGGCGCCCAACGTGGGGCCTCTTGAAAAATGTGCGTCTCGATGACTTACCCGTTCCACCTGATTTTGAAATTTTTAACGTCAAAGGCAACTGAATGAAGTCTTGTAAAACGATTTAGTTGTTATAACTTATGTATGTTCACCTGATCATAGGCAGTTGAAATGTCAAAAAAAAAAAATAGTGCAGCGCCGTACTCGTGGTAGAAGTGAAACTTCTTAGAAACTATCCCCACTTCATACAACTTTTAAACGCGTATGACTCGGAGTAAAAATGGAGAACAACATAAGAGAAAGACGTCTTAAAACACCTTTAATGACGTCACAAGGATCGACTCGACAATAATAGCTAACTCCTTTGCTTATAATCCTTGGTTTGTGAATTTTTCATGGGCTGTCATTGTCATCGGCTGTGTTTCTCTGTCGCTCGACGTTATATATCTCAATTCTCATCATAATATCCGACAAGAACCGATTGCATACTCACAAGCCAACTAGGTTTTGAAAATCAAGGATAATAAGCCCAATAAGGTTGTCTGGATTATTCATAATCGAATTTCTTTCAGGATGACGTCTCCACTCAAGGTTCCTAAAGTTACTAGAGTAGAGAGTGAAAAAACAAAAAGTGTAAAGAAAAAATGGCAAAAAGAAATTCTTATTAAGACTGTTCGTAACGTATTCCAAGACCGACTATGATATATTGAGATATCAATCTAAAGAAGTAGATGGAGCCACTTTCATTTCCACTTATCAAAGATTTTTCTTAACAATCCACGGCATCAAGGTTGTTTGAGAGATGTAGGTTGCCTATAAGGTTGTTTGAAAGACTTTAGGAATCTTGGGTTATCTAATAACTTTTATGACGTCATAATGCAAATTTACCTAAGGCACTCCAGATGACGTTATCAAATTACTCATTACCAAATAGCCTATAAACTTTAGAAACCTTGGGACCACACAAAAGGGAGACGCACATTTGTAATGATGTCACAAGGGTATCTGCGTTTGACAATATGGCCAATCCCCTTTGATTTATGTCAATCGTTCGTCGGCTGTCATTATCTTTGTTTGTCGAAAAAAATAATATACAATCATGCGTAGTGTAAATCTCTGTATCCGTCGTTAAAGTCAACTACCAAAATCAAGATGTCATCCATGTAGGCCAGTGCTGTATTAAATCTTAATGATTCAAGAACTAGGTTAATACTTCGCTGAAATACAGCTGGAGCATTTGCTAATCCAAATGGCATTCGTGTATACTCCTAATGCCCATACGGCGTAATGAATGCTGTTTTTGCTCTAGACTCTGTAGATATTGTTATGTCATATCAAGTGACGTAAAGTGCTTGCTTCCTTTTAAACGTTCAAGATGATCCCGCCACTGTGGAACTAATTCCAATTGGTTTGAAAGAGTTAAAAGTCTCTTCTAACCAATCAGTGCGCGGGAAGCAGTTGGCAACACTGCAACGACATTAATTTGTTGACCAATATAAATGGCGCTGGCTTAAATAATAATATGTGATTCTGATTGGTCAGATATCATCCAGCAGTTGGCATCACTGCAGTGACAATTGACAATTTTGAACCAATAAAAGTTGATTCTAATAAAGTATTTGCACATTTTTGTGTATATTTTTTTTCGAATTCTGTGAGGTTATTACACTGTGACGTCATTACATAGTAAATGGCGACGTTGTCAAATGTAGTCCATAATTGTTTAAGCTGAAACTGTAAAACTAAATTTTATTTGAATTTTATTATGGCCATGTTGGCTGCATTGTGTCGTATTTAGCGCGGTTGTCAACGCATGCGCCATATTATTTCGATGATTAAGAAAAGAGAAAAAAATATAAAGTAAGAGTGATCTTGTATTTCAGAAAAATGGTATGCAAAATTCAATGGGTAAGAAAGGGACAGAGATAAAATGGGAACAAAAATATTACACAAATTCTGAATATTTCTGTCAGGCAAATCAAGGTTATTTGAAAGAGGAAAGTTACCTGATAACGTCATCTAGATTGCTCGAATATCAAGGTTGTTTTAGAGAGGTAAGTTGTCTGATAACTTTATTCTCCATCAGGCACCCTAGATAATGTCATCTGTTTCCCATGACCAGACAACCTAGCTTGGGTATAATAAAGTAGGAGACAATAGAGGATTTGATGATTGAGAGAGAGAGAGAGAGAGACAAATATAAAGTAGGCTAAAAAAAAAACACAAATTTTGATTATTCCCGGGGCTTGAGTGGTCTTGTATCTGACCGATCAATTGACTGAAATAGAAAGAAATGGTATGAAAAATTCAATGAATAAGAAAGAGACAGAGATAAAATAGGAACAATAATATTATACAAACTCAGGGTATTTGTGTCTGACAAATCAAAAGCTTGGGTATATCAAAGTGAGAGACAAATGTATAACCAATTCAATGGGTAAGAAAGAGACAGACGTAAAATAGGAATAATAATATTACATAAATTTGGGCTATTTATGTCTGACAAATTAAGAATAATTGTCTTTGCTTGGGTATAACAAAGTAAGAGACAAACATATAAAGAATCCAATGATTAAAAAAAAAACAAATATAAAGTAGAAAACAAATTTTGATTATTTCCAGCGCTTGAGTGCCAGTTGTCTTGTATCTGAACGATCAATTGCCTGAAATAGAAAGAAATGGTATGCAAAATTCAATGGACAAGAAAGAGACAGAGATAAAATAGTAACAAAAATATTACTTAGGCTATTTGTGTCTGACTGTCTGACAAATCAAGAGCTTTGGTATAACAAAGTAAGAGACAAACGTATAAAGAATTCAATGCTTAAAAAAGAGACAAATATAAAGTAGGATACAAATTTTGATTATTCCCAGGGTTTGAGTGGACTTGTATCTGACCAATTAAGTGCCTGGAATAAAGAGAGATGGTATGCAAAATTCAATGGGTAAGAAAAGAACAAAACAAAGTGAACGTGAACCAAGAAAATTGTAACATTTGTTTTATCTCCATCCATGACAATCCGGCAACGATGCCTCCGTCACATGTCACTCACAAAAATTGTTTGAGTTTACTAAAAAATTTTGTGCAAGTACTCTATTCACTAAACAATTAGTTGGCAACACTGCACCGCCATTTGTGAACCAATAAAAATCGCGCAAGCCGAAATAAATGATTCTGATTGGTCCAAAATAACAATTGCGTGGAAAGCAGCGTTGGCAACACTGCAACGACATTTATGATTATGAACGGTCGGTACTTTGAATTTGGGCTCTAAAACAATGAGAATCCGGGCCCACATTTGTCATTGTAAAACTGTGGTTATTGGCAACATTGTTGAATCAGTTAAAAGTAAAACGATTCCAGTTATTGGTTGATCAGTGCCCGGAAAACCGTTGGCAACACTGCAGCAACAAAGAATGAGTGATTCTGATTGGTAAGAAATATTCAGTGCGTGGAAAACGGTTGGCAACATTGCACCAACCTTTTTGAATCAATAGGAAATAAAACAATTTCAATAGGGTACTTGCATATTTTTGGATTTTAGTTTTTGGGCGCTATTGTGACGTCATTACATAGTAAATGGCGGCGTTGTCAAATGTTTGTATAGTACAATTTTGCGCAGTCACATAAATTGTACAATGTACAGGGTTGTTAAATATATTTTGACAATGAATATTTGTAATATGTGAATAGGAATTTACGAAAAAAGTTGGTATATACAGGGTGCATGCAAAAAATATGGCAGGCACAAGTTGTACAAGGGTGGGCATAAGTCACCTGCAGCCTTGGAAAACAGTGCATGTGTCAATTTCAAATTTTTAATTATTCCTGGCGCTGAATAGTCTTGTATCTAACCATTGAAATCCCTTGAATAGAGATAAATAGTATGCTAAATTCAATGGACAAGAAAAAGACAGGGAACAACAATATCACACGAATTTTGAATATTTGTGTCTGACAAATCAAGAGCTTGAGTCAAGGTTGTTTGAAAGAGGTAAGTTGCCTGATAACATCAATGACGTCATCTGTTTCCTATTACCAGACAACTTAGTTTGGCAAAAACAAAGTAGGAGACAGAGTTATAAAGGATTTGATAATTAAGAAAGAGACAAATATAAAGTAGGATAAAAAAAGTGAGACGAATTTTGTTTGCTCCCGACGCTTGAGTGGTTTTATATCTAAATTTAACCAATCAAGTACCTTGAATAAAGATAAATGGTGTGCAACATTTAATGGGTAAGAAAGGGACAGAGCTATTATCCGTTCACAGTCCACAGGTACAGGTAAAATGTATCACCTTTTAATACTATTTGATAGAGAAAGGTGATAAATTTACCTGTACCTGTGGACATCGGATTGTGAATAGGATATAAAATGGAAACAAAAATATAACACAAATTTTGAATATTTTTGTCTGACAAATCAAAAGCTTGCGTCAAGGTTGTTTGAACAAGGTAATTTGCTTAATAACTTCAATGATGTCATCAAGGATGCCCAAACATCAAGGTTGTTTGAGAGGTGAGTTGCCTAATAACCATTTGGCACATTATCTGTTTCCCATTATCAGACAACCTAGCTTGGGTATAACAAAAATAGAAGACAGAGTTATAAAAGATTTGATGATTAAGAAAGAGACAAATACAAAGTAGGATTAATTTTGATTATTCCTGATCTTATATCTAACCAATCAAAAACCTGGAATAGAGAGACAAAGCATGCAAAATTCAATGGATAAAAAAGGGACAGAGATAAAATAGGTACAAAAATATTACTTTGTTTCTAACAAATCAAGACTTTTGAAACCGTTCATTGGACGGTTTTTGACATGTTGGAACAAACTTATCGATTATTAGGGATGTTGAATGTCAGTGCGGTTATTGGTTTAGCCGCTAGATGGCATCAATGTTATTTGTTAGTGGATCAATTTTCAACATTGACATTGAAATTCAGCAAAAGCAATAGAGATGGAGACACGTGCAATAAAATACAACCACATCTACAATAAATTTATTTATTACTTTAGCACATTTGTTAGATTACCATTATTTACATCAAATATTACCGTTAATAATCTGTGCCTTTTGGTTGAGGTAAAGATATGCAGTGCAAAACGCGATAAATTTTAACAAAAATATCTCTAGAAAAAACATTTAATGAAGCTCGAGAATCATTTACCTACGAAAATTTTGCAGGCACATCGTCGTTTTCCGATAATATAACCAATACGTGTTTTTCTTACAAGCAAAAAGGACGGTGTATGTGTAGCTTAAGTGTAAAACTGTTTTTCTATACTTAGTTGTTGCGCTTATTTTGGCATATTACGTCTAAGATAGACTCAAAAAATGTGAACCAACTATTATCTAGAAAAAAACTTGTACGATTAGTTTTTGACTCACGTCAGTTGTCAACTGACATTGACAATTGACAACTGACTCAAAATTCCACTATGTTAAATAATCTACATTTTTGTATTTCCTATTAAAAATTGATTAAAACTATCTCTCTTCATTCACTGGAACTATTTCCTAAAATTCCTGTGCTACACTGATTATTACATCACTATAATGAGCTAAAGAAAAATGGTCAACAACAAATTCTTGATTTCCTAAGTTCAACCTAACATCCGGCTAAAAAAGTACGGATAAAATTTCCTGCCTTTGATGTTGTGCAAATTCCTGTGCCGGTTGATCTTTTTGGGTTCGTCAGACGGAAACGGGTGCTCAGGTTCAGATGAATTTTCCCCAGAAGATTCTCCTAATAGAGGTTTAGGCAAAAAATCTTCTTTGTTCAATGTGTGATTATTTTGCGCAGGGTGGGTATTTAAAATGTAAAGTCTTGGATCAACTGCGCCAATTGAGGTTTTATGAGTAGTTGAATCATCTTCATCAATGTTATTATTTATGGTCAAATTTAGCACTCTTGGTACCCCAAACTGGCCGCCATTTTCTAAATCGTCATGTTCATCAACCATTGGTAACTCTTTTCTGAAAGTTCTATTCAGCTTAGGTGATGTGTCTTTAATGTCGGGCATCATTTCGAATTCCTTTGTCAAGTTTTCTTCCAATTCGTCCACGGATTGAGGTTGTTTGGTTGGCAGCAATTTGACGATGCTGTTTTGTTTTTTTGTTGTGATTTTTTTGGTTGGCAACAGTGGTTTTTTGGTCGGAGGCGGTTGTTTGGTTGGCAACTCTGTTTTACTGGTTGATTCTTGTAGGGTTTCGTTGAGGTCGATTATATCAAACATTGTACCTTTAAAATCAATACTTAATTATTTAGCTTAAAAAAAATCAATTCTTACCATTTTCAATGATGCTAAACAATTGGCCTTGATTAATCACTCCAGGATAATCTTCAGCGTTTTCTGGGTGTCCAGTTGCAGTAGCTTCGTTCACGGTTTTCAAGGTTTGTAGAGTAACTTGAGCGGTTCTAGGGGTGGTAATCGTTTCCTGGTCAGCTGGGGTAATTTCTGTGGATGTAGATTCGATTACGACTGCAAACTGAAAAAATATAAATAAATGCCAATCGTGTCCCAATAGGTTGTGATAAAATCGAAGTATTGTTTTTTGATAAGTGAAAACGAATATTGCAACAACGATGAGTCTGACCCCTTTCCAAGGGACTAACTGGGTTGTATGCACTAAAGAATAGAATGTACCTGCTAGGTAACAACCAGACACTTACCAATTGATCCATAATTTAGCCCTAAGCTAATTTTATTTAAAAGCAACAATTACATGAAATTGTAAAGCATAGGAAAAGGAGACGCGAATAATTCATTTACAAAAGTTAAAAACTTTTGAGAGTAGCTTACATTCTGCCACTCACTAAAACTATATATTATGTTAGAGTGCTCGGGCTGCTAACCGAATTTCGAGTAAACTTTGTCGAGGCGCCGAAAATAAATGCACCACTTACACTGAAAGCGTAATTATATTTGAAAAGTTTTATATAAACCTTGAATAATTATTAGCTTTTTTGAGATATTGCTTAACATCTTTTGACATCCTGTACTATAATATGCTGGCAATACTGAGATGTGTCAAATCTTGTGACATTTGATGTCAATATTTTTTACGATTTAAATTCTTCTCGATATATATCGACCTTGTCCTTGACAACCCTCCGGCCACAGGGAGGCTTATCTCTAGGGCGCGTTCGCCGTATCGGACGTCCCGCTGAGCCGTATAGAGAGGAAAGAGATATAGAGCCGCTCTATGTTAGCCGGCAAGATTAATAGTCGCAGGAAATCCCTTTTGATTTCGGCCGTTATTTAGAAGATATCAGGGGCATTATGGGTCAATTAAGGTGCAGAACTTACACGAAAGTTTTGAGCCAACTCAGTTAAAAATTATGACATTTGACATATATCAACAAGGCAGATTTTGTGCTAAATGTCACTCAAATATCACTTTTTGAAAGCTATCAAAAATCTGATCCAACCAAATCTGGAACTCAATTTTTGGAACAGGTAAGCTCCCAAGTTTCTGGATTAAGATTCTGTATTAATAGATAACCAAGCTTAGAAGCGGCACATCACATGCCCCATATTCAAATTTCACGTAGGATTATGCAAAACCAATATTGAAGATCATACATTTGCAGGTTTATTATAATCCCCAAAAGTGATAAATCATCCCTTATCGCCCGGCGGGAAATAATTTTTGGGGTTTAGGGAAAAGTTACCAATCTACAAATCCTTACCTTTGTACTTTCATCAGCTTTTTTTAGCCCGGTAGGTGAGACGTTGGTGGAACTGGGCAAATTTTCAGTTTCAAAGTTGGTAGCACTGGTAGGTGTGACGTGAATGTCTACTGCGTGTTGCGTTGTCAGCACGATTTTGTCTTGGTGGCTTGAAGCGAAATCCTACAATAATGTCAATAGACTCAATTTTTTGAAATGTCATAGGTTTTCTATCTCATTTTTTGAATATGAATTAGAAAAGGAGAATATCAGGATTAATGTCTATGGCCTTCTTACAATGTATATTTGAATTCAAAATAATATCACAACTATGCAAATCATTTCTGTCAAATTTGACATTGACATGATACGGTTGAAAAGCAACAAAATGACTGACAGAGTTATCTTAATAAATGGACAACTTTGCTAGAAAGTATATCTGTCCCTGTTCGATTATTATGTATTAGAAAAGGACCAACATAAATTTTAAAAAAATTACACAATAATCGCTTCCTAATTCCTGGTTCCTGATTTACATTCAAGAGCCGAGAATAATCGAAATTTTGAATTTTTCATGAATTGAATTCATTCAGACGCCATTTTCAGACATTGTGACAATTGACATAATACAATTGATAAGCAACGGAATGACTGACAGACCTGTCCAAATAATTGGACAACTTTGCCAGAGAGTATATCCTCAGAGAGTATTTTTGAACATGTTGAAACATTATAAACTCATTGAAACATCATGAAAAAATCGATAAAATATTTTTTAAAAAATTAATAAACATCATGGAGTATTTTTCAACATGCATATTGGAATATTAGAAACTTGTTGGAACATCATAAAAACTCGTTGGAACGCTTCAAAAACTTGTTAAAACAGCATGAAAAAATCATTAAAATATTTGTTTAAAAAAAATTATAAATTTCAACGAGTGTTGTAATATTAGAAACTCATTGGAACATTATAAAAACTAATTGAAACGTTTCAAAACCTATTCAAAAAATAAAAAAAATTAAAAAAAAATATATATTAAACATCAAATAGTATTTTTCATCATTATAAACTCTTTGGAACATCATGAAAACATGTTGGAACGCTTTAAAAACTTGTTGAAACATCATAAAAAAATCGTTAAAATATTCAAAAAAAAAATAAATAAATTCCAACGAGAGAATATTTAAAAAATATTGAAAAGTTAAAAAAAAAATTGAATAAACATCAAACAATATTTCTTTGACATATTGAAACTATATAAACTTGTTGAAATATCATAAAAACTCGTTGGAACGCTCTAAAAACTTGTTGAAACATCATGAAAAAATCTTTAAAATATTCAAAAAAAAAATTGAATAAATATCAACGAGTGTTGCAATATTAGAAACTCGTTGGAACATCATAAAAACTAATTGAAACGTTTCAAAAACTATTTAAAAAATATTGAAAACTCAGAAAAAAAAAGTCCGATAAGCACCAAAGAGAATTTCTCAATATATTGAAACATTATAAACTTATTCGAACATCATAAAAACTCGTTGGAACGCTTTAAAAACTTGTTGAAACATCATGAAAAAATCTTTAAAATATTCAAAAAAAAAAATTGAATAAATATCAACGAGTGTTGCAATATTAGAAACTCGTTGGAACATCATAAAAACTAATTGAAACGTTTCAAAAACTATTTAAAAAATATTGAAAACTCAGAAAAAAAAAGTCCAATAAGCACCAAAGAGAGTTTCTCAATATATTGAAACATTATAAACTTATTCGAACATCATAAAAACTCGTTGGAACGCTTTAAAAACTTGTTGAAACATCATGAAAAAATCGTTAAAATATTTAAAGAAAAAATTAATAAATTTCAACGAGTGTTGTAATATTAGAAACTCGTTGAAACATTATGAAAACTAACTAAAACGTTTCAAAAACTATTCAAAAAATATTAAAAAGTTTAAAAAAAAAAATATATTAAACATCAAATAGTATTTTTCATCATTATAAACTCGTTGGAACATCATGAAAACATGTTGGAACGCTTTAAAAACTTGTTGAAACATCATAAAAAAATCGTTAAAATATTCAAAAAAAAAATAAATAAATTCCAACGAGAGAATATTTAAAAAATATTGAAAAGTTAAAAAAAAAATTGAATAAACATCAAACAATATTTCTTTGACATATTGAAACTATATAAACTTGTTGAAATATCATAAAAACTCGTTGGAACGCTCTAAAAACTTGTTGAAACATCATGAAAAAATCTTTAAAATATTCAAAAAAAAAATTGAATAAATATCAACGAGTGTTGCAATATTAGAAACTCGTTGGAACATCATAAAAACTAATTGAAACGTTTCAAAAACTATTTAAAAAATATTGAAAACTCAGAAAAAAAAAGTCCGATAAGCACCAAAGAGAATTTCTCAATATATTGAAACATTATAAACTTATTCGAACATCATAAAAACTCGTTGGAACGCTTTAAAAACTTGTTGAAACATCATGAAAAAATCTTTAAAATATTCAAAAAAAAAAATTGAATAAATATCAACGAGTGTTGCAATATTAGAAACTCGTTGGAACATCATAAAAACTAATTGAAACGTTTCAAAAACTATTTAAAAAATATTGAAAACTCAGAAAAAAAAAGTCCAATAAGCACCAAAGAGAGTTTCTCAATATATTGAAACATTATAAACTTATTCGAACATCATAAAAACTCGTTGGAACGCTTTAAAAACTTGTTGAAACATCATGAAAAAATCGTTAAAATATTTAAAGAAAAAATTAATAAATTTCAACGAGTGTTGTAATATTAGAAACTCGTTGAAACATTATGAAAACTAACTAAAACGTTTCAAAAACTATTCAAAAAATATTAAAAAGTTTAAAAAAAAAATATATTAAACATCAAATAGTATTTTTCATCATTATAAACTCGTTGGAACATCATAAAAACTCGTTGAAACGCTTTAAAATTTTATTGAAACATTATAAAAAAAATCGTTAAAATATTCAAACAAATTTCAAATAAATTTCAACGTGTGTTACAACATTATAAAATCGTTGGAACATTATAAAAACTAATTGGAACGTTTCAAAAACTATTTGAAAAATATTAAAAAGTCTGAAAAATATAATATTAAACATCAAAGAGTATTTTCCAACATGTTGAAACTTATTGGAACATCATAAAAACTCGTTGGAACGCTTTAAAAACTTGTTGAAACATCATGAAACAATCATTAAAATATTCAAAAAAAAATTGAATAAATATCAACGAGTGTTGCAATATTAGAAACTCGTTGGAACATCATAAAAACTAATTGAAACGTTTCAAAAACTATTTGAAAAATATTGAAAAGTAAAGGAAAACGAATGTAATAAACATCAAAGAGTATTTTTCAACATGTTGAAACATTGAAAACTCGTTGGAACATCACAAAAATTCGTTGGAACGTTTAAAAAACTTATTGAAACATCATGAAAAAATCGTTAAAATATTTTCAAAAAAATTGTAAATAAATTTCAGCCAGTGTTGCAATATTATAAAACCATTGGAACATCATAAAAACTAATTGGAACGTTTCAAAAAATATTTAAAAGTGAAAAAAACAAATGTAATAAACATCAAAGAGTATTTTTCAACATGGTGGAACATTATAAGATGGTTGGAACATCATAAAAACTCGTTGGAACGCTTTAAAAACTTGTTTAAACATCATGAAAAAATCGATAAAATATTCAAAAAAATTGTAAATAAATTTCAACCAGTGTTGCAATATTATAAAATCATTAGAACATTATAAAAACTAATTGGAACGTTTCAAAAAATATTTAAAAAATATTTAAAAGTGAAAAAAATAAATGTAATAAACATCAAAGAGTATTTTTCAACATGTTGAAACATTATAAACTCGTTGGAACATCAAAAAAATTCGTTGGAACGTTTAAAAAACTTGTTGAAACATCATGAAAAAATCTTTAAAATATTTAAAAAAATGATAAATAAATTTCAACCGAGTGTTGCAACATTAAAAAATCAGTGGAACATTATAAAAACTAATTGAAACGTTCTAAAAACTATTTAAAAAATACTAAAAAGTCAAAAAAAAAAATAATAAACACCAAAGAGTATTTTTCAACATGGTGAAACATTATAAGATGGTTGGAACATCATAAAAACTCGTTGGAACATCTAAAAATTCGTTGGAACGTTTAAAAAACTTGTTGAAACATCATGGAAAAATCAATAAAATATTCAAAAAAAAAATTGAATAAATATCAACGAGTGTTGTAATATTAGAAACTCGTTGAAACATCGTGAAAACTAATTGAAACGTTTCAAAAACTATTTAAGAAATATTGAATAGTCAAAAAAAAATAAAAATAATAAAGATCAGAGAATGTCAACATGTTGAAACATTATAAAGTGTTGGAACATCATAAAAACTCGTTGGAACGCTTCAAAAACTTGTTAAAACATCATGAAAAAATCGTTAAAATATTCAAAAAAAATTTGAATAAATTCCAACCAGTGTTGCATTATCAGAAACTCGTTGGAACATCATAACAACTAATTGAAATTTTTCAAAAACTATTTGGAAAATATTGAAAAGTCAGAAAAAAAAATTTAATAAACATCAAAGAGTATTTTTCAACATGTTGAAACATAATAAACTCGTTGGAACATCATAAAAACTCGTTGAAACGTTTAAAAAAAAAATTGAAACATCATGAAAAAGTCGTTAAAATATTCGAAAAAAAAATTGAACAAATATCAGCTAGTTTCATAATATTAGAAACTCGTTGGAACATCATAAAAATTAATTGAAACGTTCCAAAAACTATTTAAACAATATGGAAAAGACAAAACAAACAAATTTAATAAACAGCAAAGAGTATTTTTCAACATGTGAAAACATTATTAACTCGTTGGAACATCATAAAAACTCGTTAGAAGGGTTAAAAAACTTGTTAAAACTGCATGAAAAAATTGTTAAAATATTCAAAAAAAAATTGAATAAATATCAGCGAGTGCTGCAATATTAGAAACTCGTTGGAACATTGTAAAAACTAAGTGAAACGTTCCAAAAACTATTTGAAAAATATTGAAAAATCAGAAAAAAAAAATTAATTAACACCAAAGAGTATTTATTTTTCAACATGTTGAAACATTATAAACTTATTGGAACATTATAAAAACTCGTTGGAGCGCTTTAAAAACTTGTTAAAACATCATGAAAAAATCGTTAAAATATTCAAAAAATTTTAAAATAAATTTCAACGAGTGTTGCGATATAAGAAACTCGTTGAAACATTGTAAAAACTAATTGAAATGTTCCAAAAATTATTTTAAAAATATTGAAAAGTCGAAAAAAACAAATTTAATAAACACCCAAGAGTATTTTTCAACATGTTGAAACATTATAAACTTGTTGGAACTTCATAAAAACTCGTTGGAACGTTTAAAAATCTTGTTTAAACATCGTTAAAATATTCTAAAGAAAAAATTGAATAAATATCAACGAGTGTTGCAATATTAGAAACTCGTTGGAACATCGAAAAACTAAGTGAAACGTTTCAAAAACTATTTAAAAAATATTGAAAAATCAGAAAAAAAAATTAACACCAAAGAGTATTTTTCAACATGTTGAAACATTATAAACTTGTTGGAACATTATAAAAAGTCGTTGGAGCGCTTTAAAAACTTGTTAAAACTATTTAAAAAATTTAAATAAATTTCAACGAGTGTTTCAATATCAGAAAATCGTTGGAACATTGTGAAAACTAATTGAAATGTTTCAAAAATTATTTAAAAAATATTGAAAAGTCGAAAAAAACAAATTTAATAAACACCCAAGAGTATTTTTCAACATGTTGAAACATTATAAACTTGTTGGAACTTCATAAAAACTCGTTGGAACGTTTAAAAATCTTGTTTAAACATCGTTAAAATATTCTAAAGAAAAAATTGAATAAATATCAACGAGTGTTGCAATATTGGAAACTCGTTGGAACATCATAAAAACTAATTGAAACGTTTCAAAAAATATTGAAAAGTCGAAAAAAACTAATTTAATAAACACCTAAAAGTATTTTTCAACATGTTGAAACATTATAAACTTGTTGGAACTTTATAAAAAGTCGTTGGAGCGCTTTAAAAACTTGTTAAAACTATGTAAAAAATTTAAATAAATTTCAACGAGTGTTTCAATATCAGAAAATCGTTGGAACATTGTAAAAACTAATTGAAATGTTTCAAAAATTATTTAAAAAATATTGAAAAGTCGAAAAAAACAAATTTAATAAACACCTAAGAGTATTTTTCAACATGTTGAAACATTATAAACTTGTTGGAACTTCATAAAAACTTGTTGGAACGTTTAAAAATCTTGTTTAAACATCGTTAAAATATTCTAAAGAAAAAATTGAATAAATATCAACGAGTGTTGCAATATTGGAAACTCGTTGGAACATCATAAAAACTAATTGAAACGTTTCAAAAAATATTGAAAAGTCGAAAAAAACTAATTTAATAAACACCTAAAAGTATTTTTCAACATGTTGAAACATTATAAACTTGTTGGAACTTTATAAAAACTCGTTGGAACGTTTAAAAATCTTGTTTAAACATCGTTAAAATATTCTAAAGAAAAAATTGAATAAATATCAACGAGTGTTGCAATATTGGAAACTCGTTGGAACATCATAAAAACTAATTGAAACGTTTCAAAAACTATTTAAAAAATATTGAAAAGTCGGAAAAAAAATTAATTAACACCAAAGAGTATTTTTCAACATGTTGAAACATTATAAACTTGTTGGAACATGATAAAAATTCCGTGGAACGTTTGAAAACCCCATTGAAACATCATGAAAAAATCGTTGAAATATTCACAAAAAAATTTAAATAAATTTCATTGAGTGTTTCAATATCAGAAAATCGTTGGAACATTGTAAAAACTAATTGAAATGTTTCAAAAATTATTTAAAAAATATTGAAAAGTCGAAAAAAACAAATTCAGTGAACACCTAAGAGTATTTTTTTCAACATGTTGAAACATTATAAACTTGTTGGAACTTCATAAAAACTCGTTGGAACGTTTCAAAATCTTATTTAAACATCGATAAAATATTCTAAAGAAAAAATTGAATAAATATCAACGAGTGTTGCAATATTGGAAACTCGTTGGAACATCATAAAAACTAATTGAAACGTTTCAAAAACTATTTAAAATATATTGAAAAGTCGAAAAAAAAATTAATAAATACCAAAAAGAATTTTTCAACACGTTGAAACATTATAAACTTGCTGGAACATGATAAAAATTCCGTGGAACGTTTGAAAACCCCATTGAAACATCTTGAAAAAATCGTTGAAATATTAGAAAAAAAATTTAAATAAATTTCAACGAGTGTTTCAATATCATAAAATCGTTGGTACATTGTAAAAACTAATTGAAATGTTTCAAAAATTATTTAAAAAATATTGAAAAGTTGAAAAAAACTAATTTAATAAACACCTAGAAGTATTTTTCAACATGTTGAAACATTATAAACTTGGAACTTTATAAAAACTCGTGGGAACGTTTAAAAATCTTGTTTAAACATCGTTAAAATATTCTAAAGAAAAAGTTGAATAAATATTAACGAGTGTTGCAATATTGGAAACTCGTTGGAACATCATAAAAACTAATTGAAACGTTTCAAAAACTATTTAAAAAATTTGGAAAAGTAGAAAAAAAAAATGTATAAACACCAAAGATTATTTTTGAACATTTTGAAACATTATAATTTTGTTGGAATATTATAAAAACTCGTTGGAAAATTTTATAAACTTGTTAAAACATCATGAAAAAATCGTTGAAATATTTTAAAAAAAATTAATACCGATTTACGTTCGAGAGCCGAGAATAATCAAAATTTCGAAATTTTTAATGAATCAAATTTTCTCTATTCCCGGCAACTGTCAATTGTCATTTTTGTCAAACAAGAAATGAAGTATTGATTGTCATTTTCTTGGTTAAGTTTAGGGGTTTTCCTGCAACTTAACCAAGAAAATGACAATCAATAATCGTTTTCGGTTGGTAGAATTAGTGTAAGCAAAATGCCTCTCTATCTGTTTCTTTAACAGGCTGAGAGAAAAAGATGGAAATACATCGCATTAAATCTTCCAATAGAAAACGCCATTTAAGTTACACTGTTGCCATTTATAGAAGCATCTTAAAATAGACTTTTTAAACCCCAAATCAAAATGTTAAGAGTCCTTTTTGAATGAGCTGACAGCTGACAAACTAGAAATTAAAGATGATCCCTTTATAAATCCCTATCAACTTTGCCCAACAAACAAACTTCCGAAAAACTTCTTACCTCTTTGAATGAACTTTCAGTCGACGCGACCGGACTTAAAGTATCCTCGGTTTCTCTGCGGTATCTCGTCGGTAAGCCGTAGTCGGAGTTGATCGTATTGACGGTTTTGCCTGCTTCTTCCGAGTTTTCGTCTAAAGTCGAAGTTTCGACAAACGAGTAATCCGATAAAGTGCTGCTGGAAGTTTTCGTCGATACCGACTTTTCTTCGGCGTCGATGTCGTCATTCGATATTAGACATGTTAATTGACGGAGCATTTCTTCACGATCCTACAATAATTGTCATATTATGAATTTGTTCTTTAAAAACTTTGATAGTTTCACATTTACATCTATATGTGTTACTAGAATGTGTCAAATCCTCTGTCACTATTTGACATAATCTGGATTTGTTGACAGATAACAGACCGACTGTCAAATTTCGTTTCAAATCCCTGACAAGTCGACAGTGGGCAAAAGAAGTTTTAGCGTCCGCTAGGTGGCGATACCTATTGATGAAGTGTATCTGACTTTGTAACAAAACGGCCTAAAAATCCTTTTATTTTGCTTCGTAATACAATTAATTGGTTTCTCAATTCTACCAGATTAAGTCGCTAAATTTCTGACGAAATCGTGTCAAGAGCCAAGGGTTATCAGTCGGATCCCGAAGCAGTGTCCTGATTGCATCCAACTAATTGCGTACAGCTCAGGTAGCAAGAACCCGCACTGGAAGAGGCAATCTAATCATTACTAAAAAGTATCCGTTCAAAGTTACCTAGATTTTCAGTGGGACTTTACCGCAGTACAAAAAGGCCTTTACCAGTGCTAAAACAATGTCTCCCTTACCCAACCGTCGCAACCAGGTGGCGGTGGTAACAACTTGTCAACAATGTTAAGCTGCAAACCGAATTCAAGTGAAATCGACACTATTTTTGTTACTTTTTCGAATGCGAGTGCAACAAAGAGAATATGATTCGTACTATCCAAAGCTTCTTATCCTTTGCCATTTCTCCGTCACTTGTCAATCTGATATCTGTTACCTATAAGCCCGTCACTTGTCATTCCGCTCACCAAAAATCTTTCCTTTAAATTGAAAAGATGGAAGTGTAAAGGGAAAATTTACGAATGCCAGCAGCATTGAAAGGCGCGCTTTTACTCGAAAAGTAAAACCGGAAACCTTTATGATATTACGGACAGAGAGAGCGTTTGTGTGTAAATCGCGCCCCCTCTTCTCTCTCGAGAGCGCAATAAATCCGGCGGAAAGATGAAAAATGTAAAATTCGGAAAATCCAGGGAGCGAACAAACAAAAATCCTCTCCCCACTGAATATTTGTCGTAAAACGCCTTATGTTACCATATATGTTGGGCTACATTTTACCAAAAAGAGTTTTGATTAAAATCGATTGGACTGCTGGAATACTTTGTTTGATTCAAAAGCCAAATAGAAATCTAATCAATGTAAATGTTGCCAAATCACTTACCGCACTGCCTTTACAAGCGATCCGTTTCGTACCGTCCAAACCGCAATCGGACGTCAATTCCAGGGCGGACTGTTCCGGAATGTACAGGACTGTCAAAGATGGCAGTTCGGTTAAAAGGCACCCTTTCGAACCCGTCGCCCAAGAGGGAACTGAAAAAAAAATAAAAGCAAACATGGAAATTGGATTTCCGTAATCCGGATCTTTTTGAAATCTAATTTTATTTGGTGATTGCGACACTGGTAAGTTGTTGAGTTTGAGAACAAAAAAAAAATAGATTGACGTTTGACAGATACATGGCCTACTAAGTTATTGATGAGATACAGTGTTGTCAGCTGAAAACTCTCAGTTTTACCAACTGATAGATGTTTGACTTATATTACATGGCCTACTAAAATGTACGTATCTGTTGGCAACACTGAATTTTAGAGAACTATAATTGTTGCCACTGTAGGGAAGGTTTATTGAGTTACTGTAATTGGATCTGAAAAGGAAATTAATACAGTTACTTAGAAGTGTGTTTTACTTGAATGTCTTTGTCTTTCCATACGCATTAAACAAAGGCAAAAAAAATGTATATATTCGTCTTTTATTAATGGTATTTTTGTATTTAAATGGTATGAACTACGCCAATGTGTTTTAGGCTCCGCCTCGTGACACATTCACCAATCCGCACTGTTAATTTCCAGAGTGCGCTGCCAAGTTGCTGGAGCATTGGTTAATCCAGAAGGCATCCTATAGAACTGAAAAAATTATGTGAACCACGCCAATGTGCTTCAGGCTCCGCCCCATGAAATATTCACTAATCCGCTACGTTAATTTCCAAGGTGGGTGGAGCCTAAGAGACATTGGCGTGGATTTCTTTTTTGTTTTGAACATTTTGTCTTATTCTATTAAACTAGTGTTGTAATGTGCCATTTCCCGGACTGGAATTGATGACGCAATATAAAAAAAGGCCGGACAGTATCGAATAAATAAATTTTTGTTCCTTCTTCTTTCAGACATTTGTTTTTGTTTTTTTAATCATTCTCTTTCATTTGCCTTGTATTTTTGTATTTAAATGGTGTGAACTACGCCAATGTGTTTTAAGGCTCCGCCTTGTGACACATTCACCAATCCGCACTGTTAATTTCCAGAGTGCGCTGACAAGTTGCTGGAGCATTGGTTGATCCAAAAGGCATCCTATAGAACTAAAAAACTGCAGCTTTGCAACAACCCAATCCAGTTCCCATTAATGTTAATTTGGACACTTTTTTCCTTTTTGAAATGATTATGAATTAGTTGTTTTTTCAGTTCCAGATGAAAATAGGTATCTTTGGAAAGGGTAAAAAGGAAGTTTTTCTTAATTTTGTCTTCATTTTTTAATAAAACGATAGAGAGGTCAAATTATTTTGTATCCAAAGCCTACTTTAATGGTTTTAAAAAGAAGAAGAAAATCGATTTTGGAATATATTCATCTTTGTCTGAAGCATTTATTAGGACAGAGATAAAAAACATTCTAAATGTGATGCATTCAAAACCTTCTTGGATTAATTGAGAAAAAAATAAAAATTCATTCACAATTATTATGCATTGAATCTGGAAAGAAAATTAGTAAAGTTACTCTAAAATGTGTTTAAGGCTTTTAATCAGCTTCTGTCTTTATCTTTCCATATGCATTAAACAAAGACAAATCTAGTAAAACATGATTCGTTTTATTTTCATTCAAGGTGGCCTTGTAAGTTTATCAATAGTCAATTATTGTATACTAAAAAATTATATTCGTCTTTTTCTTACACAATTAAAACGATGGAGAAGTCAAATTTTTTGCATCCAAAGCCTACTTTGATGTTTTTGAAAAAAAAAAGAAGAATTGACAATATTGACATTTATTGTGTGAAACATTAATAATTGATTGCCCCCCTATAAAGTTGAAGTTATAAAACTGGTATTGAAACGGGGTAAAAACGCCGAGTTTTCGTCAATAGAAACTAATACTCCATTAATAATTTGACATAAATGACAGTTGAAGTCAAGAGCCGGGAATAGATAAAAAATTATTCGAAAAAAATCTGCTCTTATCTCAAATTCGTATTTCTCTACTCTAAAATGACATTTTCATCAAGTAGGCCATGCATTTCTGCAAATAACTGTCAAAAAATAGGCACTTCCTAAAATTCACTAAATATACCGTTGTTAGTTAGAATATTTGTGTCATTTTCTACTGTCTATCTTTAACTGAGTATTAGAAGAGGACAAATACAATCCTCTACCAAGTTGACCTATCATTTGCAAATGTCAAAAAAATGGACGCTTCCTAACATTCACCAAATCAATCCGTTATACGAAAAAAAATAAACATTTTACCAAGTAGGCCAATGAACAAATGACGAGCAGTTGTCCATTTATAATTTGACAGAAATGACAGTTCAAAAGCCAGGAATAAATAAAAAATTACATATTCAATTAGATGCTAGAAAATTATATTCTTCTTTTTCTTACACATTTAAGTCAAATTTTTTGCATCCAATGCCTACTTTGATGTTTTTCAAAAAAAAGAAGAACAAAATCGGTTTTGGAACATATTTATCTCTGTCCAAAGCATTGGGATAGAAAGAGAGAAAAGCTTCTTTAAATGTGATATATTCAAAACCCCCTTTGATGTTATTTTTGCCAAAATAATCCGAAAAATGTCAAAAAATTCCAATATTATATTCATGATTTTGTTTTATGTAACTTCTAAGGCCTCTGTCTTTGTCTTTCTATATGCATTAAACAAAGACGAATAAAGGACCAATGTATTTTACACTCTTGAGACAAAATTAACGCGCTTAAAACCCACTCAGACATTAAAGTGGAAGTACCAAGAATATTGACTTTGGTGTCGAAATTTCCAGAAAAAAAAAAGATTGAAATACGCCGTATGTATACATATATACCTATATTGTTTTTTTTTTTGCGACATTTTTTCCTATCCAATTTTTTTATAAAATGAATATCTGGCAACCCTGGGCCTGCATGATCAAAAAAAAACATATTTTAACATGAAATTATTATAAACTATACCCTCTGTTTTATAATAAATTAGTTTTCTCGGTACTCACCCCTTAAAAACTGTGGCCCCCGCTCGGAAATTCAGTTTTCCGGACAAAATAAACACCGAATCCGAACCGTGACACTTTTTCGAACACTTTAGAGTACTTTTTCCTATTCAAAACTGGAAAATTCAACGAAAAAACCGGAGGCTGTTGGCCATTTTTCACTTATAATGGCCGACTGTCAAGTGTCAAAACTACCATTCCAAAGCCTACTTTATTAAAACCTATTATTAAAGGCTTATAATTATATTAATTTTGATGCAATTCAATTTAATTATGCCTCAATTAAGTCCTTATTAGTTATTTTACTCGTTTTTGGGGCTCGTGATTGCACCGCCATCTCGTGACAAATGCGTGTAGTTTCATTATTGTTTTAAAATGGCTTATTTTTATTGTCGGTTTTTTTGTTGAATTTTCCAAAATATTATTAAACATAATTATTAACTAAATTTTAAACAAAAAACCATTTGAAATGTAATTTTTTTCCTACTTGAGATGTGGCAACGTCGCTTTTAATCAAGTAGGCCTTGTAATGAAATTTCATTTGCCACTTTTCCTTTGATAGTTGGCCATGTATTTACATTTTATCCAGTTTTTTCTCGAATTTTTCGCTTTTCCAGGCCGTTTTTAGTCGGGAAAACTAGTTCAAAATATGAGGCTTCATTTTTCGCCAAAAATCTTCAGTTTTCCAAGGGGGTAAGTAACGATACTCAAGTTTTATCAAGTAAGCTTTGGAATGTTATTTTTGCTGGTTTCTCGTTGGATTTTTCGCTTGCGAGCGGGAAAGCTGATTTAAAGTACGAGACTTGGGGTTTTCTTGATTTTTTTCCAAAAGTCTCCAGTTTTAAATCTATTAATTTCCTGTCAAAGGGTTAGTGACAAAAATGTATTAGAAAACAAGCTTTTGGGGGAATTTATTGTTTCAAAATCGTTATTAATTGATTATTTAACAGGGTTTTAATTAAATAACAAGCCAAATCAAATTTTAAATGCTTTTTTTGGAAGTTTTGATGTGGCAACACCGCTTGTGGCCAACTTCAAGCAAGTAAGCCTTGATTTAAATATCATTTGCCAGTTTTGACAGTCGGCCACTTTTAATTGACCTATTTACATGAGATATGGCAATGTCGCTTTCAATCAGTAGGTTTTGTAATGAAATGTCATTTGCCAGTTTTGAGTGTTTTTATCCAGTTTTTTCTCGATTTTTCCGCTTTTTCAGGCCGTTTTCAGTCGGGAAAGCTGGTTTAAAATACGAGGGGGTAAGTAACGAAAACTCAAGTTTTATCAAGTAGGCTTTGGAATAATATTTTGGCTGTTTTATTTTTGGATTTTTTGCTTTTCCAGGCCGGAAAAACTGATTTAAAGTACGAGGCTTTGAGTTTTCTTTATTTTTTGCCAAAAGTTTCCAGTTTTAAATCCATTAATTTACTGTCAAAGGGTAAGTGACGAAAATGTATTAGAAAACAAGCTTTTGGAGGAATTTATTGTTTCAAAATCGTTATTAATTGATTATGTAACAGGGTTTTAATTAAATAACAAGCCAAATCTCATTTTTAATGTTTTTTTCGAAAGTTTTGATGTGGCAACACCGCTTGTGACCAACTTCAAGCAAGTAAGCCTTGTAATAAATATCATTTGCCAGCTTTGACAGTCGGCCATTTTTAATTGACGTATTTACATGAGATATGGCAACGTCGCTTTCAATCAGTAGGTTTTGTAATGAAATGTCATTTGCCAGTTTTGAGTGTTTTTATCCAGCTTTTTCTCGAATTTTCCGCTTTTTCAGGCCGTTTTCAGTCGGGAAAGCTGGTTTAAAATACGAGGGGGTAAGTAACGAAAACTCAAGTTTTATCAAGTAGGCTTTGGAATATTATTTTGGCTGTTTTATTTTTGGATTTTTTGCTTTTCCAGGCCGGAAAAACTGATTTAAAGTACGAGGCGTTGAGTTTTCTTTATTTTTTGCCAAAAGTTTCCAGTTTTAAATCCATTAATTTACTGTCAAAGGGTAAGTGACAAAAATGTATTAGAAAACAAGCTTTCGGGGATATTCATTGTCTTAAAATCGTTATTAATTGATTATTTAACAGGGTTTTAATTAAATAACAAGCCAAATCAAATTTTAAATGCTTTTTTTGGAAGTTTTGATGTGGCAACACCGCTTGTGACCAACTTCAAGCAAGTAAGCCTTGATTTAAATATCATTTGCCAGTTTTGACAGTCGGCCATTTTTAATTGACCTATTTACATGAGATATGGCAATGTCGCTTTCAATTAGTAGGTTTTGTAATGAAATGTCATTTGCCAGTTTTGAGTGTTTTTATCCAGTTTTTTCTCGAATTTTCCGCTTTTTCAGGCCGTTTTCAGTCGGGAAAGCTGGTTTAAAATACGAGGGGCTAAGTAACGAAAACTCAAGTTTTATCAAGTAGGTAGGCTTTGGAATATTATTTTGGCTGTTTTATTTTTGGATTTATTGCTTTTCCAGGCCGGGAAAACTGATTTAAAGTACGAGGCGTTGAGTTTTCTTTATTTTTTGCCAAAAGTTTCCAGTTTTAAATCCATTAATTTACTGTCAAAGGGTAAGTGACAAAAATGTATTAGAAAACAAGCTTTTGGGGGAATTTATTGTCTTAAAATCGTTATTAATTGATTATTTAACAGGGTTTTAATTAAATAACAAGCCAAATCAAATTTTAAATGCTTTTTTTGGAAGTTTTGATGTGGCAACACCGCTTGTGACCAACTTCAAGCAAGTAAGCCTTGTAATAAATATCATTTGCCAGTTTTGACAGTCGGCCACTTTTAATTGACCTATTTACATGAGATATGGCAATGTCGCTTTCAATCAGTAGGTTTTGTAATGAAATGTCATTTGCCAGTTTTGAGTGTTTTTATCCAGTTTTTTCTCGATTTTTCCGCTTTTTCAGGCCGTTTTCAGTCGGGAAAGCTGGTTTAAAATACGAGGGGGTAAGTAACGAAAACTCAAGTTTTATCAAGTAGGCTTTGGAATAATATTTTGGCTGGTTTATTTTTGGATTTTTTGCTTTTCCAGGCCGGAAAAACTGATTTAAAGTACGAGGCTTTGAGTTTTCTTTATTTTTTGCCAAAAGTTTCCAGTTTTAAATCCATTAATTTACTGTCAAAGGGTAAGTGACAAAAATGTATTAGAAAACAAGCTTTTGGGGGAATTTATTGTTTCAAAATCGTTATTAATTGATTATGTAACAGGGTTTTAATTAAATAACAAGCCAAATCTCATTTTTAATGTTTTTTTCGAAAGTTTTGATGTGGCAACACCGCTTGTGACCAACTTCAAGCAAGTAAGCCTTGTGATTAATATCATTTGCCAGTTTTGACAGTCGGCCATTTTTAATTGACGCATTTACATTTTATCCAGTTTTTCTTCAAATTTTCCGCTTTTCCAGGCTGTTTTCAGTTGGGAAAACTGGTTTAGGATACGGGGCTTTGAATTTCCTACATTTTGTGCCAAAAATTTCCAGTTTTCCAATAGAGTAAGAGAAAAAAACTTCAGTTTTGTCAAGTAGGCTGTGGAATGTTGGTTTTTCTTTAGATTTTCCACTTTTCCAGGCCGTTTTTAGTCGGGAAAGCTGGTTTAAAATACGAGGCTTTCAATTTCCTTCATTTTCCGTCAAAAATTTCCAGCTTTCCAAGGGGGTAAGTAACAAAAACTCAAGTTTCATCAAGTATGTTTTTTTTTGGATTTTCTGCTTTTCCAGGCCGGGAAAACTGATTTAAAGTACGAGGCTTTGGGTTTTCTTCATTTCTTGCCAAAAGTTTCCAGTTTTAAATCCAATAATTTACTGTCAAAGAGTAAGTGACAAAAATATATTAGAAAACAAGCTTGTGGCCAACTTCAAGCAAGTAAGCCTTGTAATAAATAGCATTTGCCAGTTTTGACAGTCGGCCATTTTTAATTGACATATTTACATTTTATCCGGTTTTTTTCGCTTTTCCAGGCTGTTTTCAGTCGGGAAAATTGGTTTAAGATACGAGGCTTTGAATTTCCTACATTTTGTGCCAAAAATTTCCAGTTTTCCAATAGGGTAAGAGAGAAAAACTTCAGTTTTATCAAGTAGGCTTTGGAATATTGGTTTTTCTTTAGATTTTCCACTGTTCCAGGCCGTTTTAAGTCTGGATAGTTGGTTTAATGTAGGAGGCTTTGAATTTCTTTTATTTTCCGTCAAAAATGTCTTGTTTTGCAAGGGGGTAAGTAACGAAAACTCAAGTTTTATGGATAGGCTTTGGAATGTCATTTTTGCTGGTTTTTCTTTGGATTTTCCACTTTCTCGTGCTGTTTTCTAGCGGGAAAACCGATTTAAAGTATGAGACTTTGAGTTTTCTCTATTTTTAGTCAGAAATATCCAGTTTTTAAAGGGGCGCAAGTAAAAATCATTAAAAAACAAACTTTTGCAGGGAATTTCTAGTTTTAAAATCATTATTGATTAAGCTTTTTTCAATAAATTTTTTTAGGTGGCAACACTGCTTTGTAGCACTCAGGTTTCAATCAAGTAGGTCATTTATAAAGCCTGTGAGAGTGACATTTGACAGTCGGCCATTTTAAGTGTTTTTATTCCGGTTTTTCGTTAAATTTCCCAGTTTTCCGGGACTTTTCAATTGGAAAAAGTACTCTAAAGTGTTTGGAAAAGTGTCGCCGTCCGAATTCTGTGTTTGTTTTGCCCAGAAAATTGAATTTCGAAGTGGGGGCCACAGTTTTTGAAGGGTAAGTACAAGAAATTCGATTATTATAAAATAAGGCCTTTTTCAATAAATTACGATTTTTCATAGGTGGCAACACTACTTTGTAGCCAACTTCACTCGGGTTTCAATCAAGTAGGTCATTTATGAAGCCAGTGTTTGACAGTCGGCCATTTTGAGTGTTTTTATTCCGGTTTTTCGTTGAATTTTCCAGGTTTCCGGGACTTTTCAATCAGAAAAAGTACTCTACAGTGTTTGGAAAAGTGTCGCAGTTCGAATTCTGTGTTTATTCTGACCAGAAAATTGAATTTCAGAGTGGGGGCCACAGTTTTTGAGGGGTGAGTACAATAAATTCTAGGCCTTTTGTGTGTTTATAAGCCCTGTTCCAACAGAAATGAGAAGAGAAGCTAATACATTTAAAACGATAGAAAAGTCAAATTTTTAACGTCCAAAGCCTGCTGTGATGTTTTCGAAAAAAAAGGCATTTACTTCTTTTCTATATTGGTAGATTGCGACCCTATATTTTCAATAAATATATTCATCCAATCAAATTGAATACACATAAAACCCATTAAAATTTACATTATTTGTTTGTTTGACAGGATTTATTATTAACTTTCGAATTTATTTATCGATAATTGAAATAAAATATAAATAATTTTGTACTTTTCCATTGAATATTAAAGCGAAAACTCCTATGAATATAAATCTTCATTTCTCCCTTGTTCCGACAACTTCATATTATTCTTCATCTTCTCCGGTTTCTCTTTTTTAATAATGCCCCGTAAGGTGTACTAGGGTTATATATGAGATTTTATATTATGATATTAAATCTTGGAAAAGCAAAATGAAAAATCAGAAATGGGGGCGACCATTTATTTAATGTTTTCATGCAGTTGACAACACTGTGTCTTAATTAAGTGCTGCCAATATTTAAAAAACAAAATTGTTACAATTGGCAACACTTGCAGAAGGCGGCAAATTTGAACTCAAATAAAAATCCTAGAAAAATCCAATATTATTATGGTGTCAATTGAATCAAATTGCTTTATATTACCTTGTCAAACGGACAAAAGCCAAAGCAAGAATTCCACCTCGACAAGGACAAGAAAGACTCGGTTTTCACGACGATAAAACGAGAACAAAGGAACAACGTTTCTTAGAGAAAACCGACGACGTGAAAAGCGTAAAAATTATCAGGAATTTAATATAAGTGATAAGGGAGATTTGAAATATCTAATTCTTGTATCTCGTTGCCTGCGTGTTATCAAAAGAAATATTAATTTTCACACACGTCAGCTGTCAACTTGTAACATTGCAAATGTCACTTGTTTTCTTTTCTATAGAAAATAGTTATAGAAAATTTAAAATATAATTATTATTTATAAATAATAATTATATTTTAAATTTTCTATAACTATTCGGTCCATGTGGCGGCATCCGAGTACATTATGGGCTCCCTGTTAATTCGTTAACAAAAGGGGTTACAAACTTTCCAATGTTGCCAACTGATATCCTTGTATTTTCACTGAAATCTTATTCTCTGAACATAAAGACCCTAACGCCAAAGTTAGAAGATAATGATCGACTGCATGACTATCAGCCATTTAACAGTTGGCACCACTGAACTTGGATTATGAATATTTCGTTCTACTCACTTATTCCTGACACAAAATTGAATGATGGGCACCTAAATAATAACCCAAATGAATAAATTCCCTATCTAAACATAGCCTACTAAGCTATTGATGGAATACAGTGTTGCCAACTGAAACATTCATTTAATTTGCCATGACCTACTAAGATGTATCTGAAAAGGTCAAGAATTATTGAAATAGTTCGATTGTGTCAGTAGTATTTCTATCCTTTACTAACACCATGCAACAAACAAAGATAGAAACACTAGTAAATCAACAAAAGTAGATTGTTACTTGGTAGTTCGCAAATGAACGCAGCCACTTCGGGTCCTCCGCAAGGCAAGGGGCGCCACAGAAAATCGGCGCTCGGGTCCATTACGGCGCACAACGACTGACCGTCACCAGCAGGGATGGATTCTTGCCAGTGACCTTCGCCTGACAATGGCTGGAAATTCCTGGAAAAAATAATTTATGAATCACATCCAATTTGCTAAAGCGATTAGGGACCCGAAACATAAAACTTTCTTAATTTACCGGGATTTTTTTTTCGCTCCCCTGGGGCTCTTTGCCTGATGGGCTCGCCATAAATCCGGAAAAGATAATGTAATTTTTGTAGCAATCTTTTAATTTCGGGCTTCCCCTTTTTTTTTGGTTGATTAATTACGAGGGGGGCACAGTTTTTGAGGGGTGAGTATCAGAAATCATTTCTCTTTTTAGTTCTGTTCCAACAAACATGAGAAGAGATGCATTCCAGAACCAATAATTTTCAGTTACCCACCTATTTTTTAATAAGTTGAACTTTTATCCTAATTGACCAATAAACTAACCATTCTAGAACGGTTCTTATGTCTGTTGGAACAGAGCTGTAGTGTTAAAAATAGGCGAGCAGGCAACACTTACGTCCATTGAAATTTCTGCTTTTCCTGGGGCTTGGACAGACCGATCCAGACTTTTTCGGCAATATCTAGCTCTTTCAAGTAGGCCCTGATCGCGTCGTACTGAGAAGAACTGTCAGCTGTAACAAGGAAAAATAAATTTGTAAAAACTCGAATAGCTGACGTCACACACATAACCTCAATTTCGATAACATTTGAGAAATATCGTTTGTTTGCCCGATCGAGGTAGGTTTGTCTCAATGACATATTTGTCCCCCTATCGAAAAATGACGTAATTAAGCAATCCATTAACCTGTCAAACAAGATTCAATATAGCCATTCGGGTCAAACACCGTGTTGTTGTCACACAGTTGCCAAATTGCCGCAATTTTCTTTTCTTTTAAAAATTAATGTTTTTCCGTTCTAGGAATTCGTCTATTATTCATTATCCTCCGGACCCAAAATGAACTCTCTGAATTCGCCTAATAAACTTCGAATTCCGCACGGGCCCCTCGCTCTTCCTAACCCAGGCGCGCCTTGTGTTCGTTATTGTAAGTTGCAACTGCGGCATTTCCGACCCTTGTTAGTTGTTTGCCCGAAAAGTTTCCTCCTTGAACTTTTGCACCATGAGTAAAGACAAATTAAAACAATCCGGTAATTATTTTCCTGGTACTTTAAAAACCGCATCTGTATCGTCAGTCGGAGACCTTGTTAGAGGTAAAAGTGTTTAATTATTTTTCGCTCGGTCGCCAACTCGAAATAAATTACACCCCAATTCTAGGGAGGCGGCAAATTTCTCGTTGTGTGAGGAATTCCGGGGTTTTTTCTGAGGGGCGGAATGCGACCACGGACCGACCCCAGCGTTTAATTTGTCGACTGGTATTTCGGGACATTTAGGATCGGTTTATCAGCTGTTGGTTAACTGATGATTATCATTGGTTAACCTAAATAAACCGGCTGTTAATAATGGCATTTCTCTGCCGATAAAATGTTACTAGTCGCCTTTTCAATATGCCAACGGAACCTATAGTGTCCAGTCCAAACTTTTATAGTTCAGGAATCAGTTTGATAAATAAACTCAACTCACATGGCTGTTGTTGGGATCTTACCAAACGGGGTACGTGATTATTGGTACATTACCGGACTGGTTGTAACCATGGTAGAGGCAGTGGTATTCGGTGTGCTGGTAACCGGTGGATTGGATTTCCATTGTTCCTGGTGCCTTCTGGCATGGTATGGCGAACAGACCCAGTACGGGCAAGCGAAAGTATTTACGGTCCCTGCTCGGGCGCCAATTTTGTAAGGCGTTTTTTTTGCGCGGAGGGCCCACTTGCACCTTCTTGAATTTTCCGCTTTTCCAGGCGGTTTTCGCACGAGAAAAGTGATTTAAAATACGAGACTTTAAGTTTTCTCCATTTTTTGCCAGAAATATCCAGTTTCAAATGCTAAAATTGAGGGCGCAAGCAAAAGTCATCAAAAAACAACTTTTTCAGGCCTTTTTCTAGCTTTTTTGCTGCTTGTAGCCAACTTCACTCGGGTTCCAAGCAAGTAGGTCATTTATAAAGCCTTTGACAGTCGGCCATTTTTAATTAGACTAGCTATTCTAATGGATTCAAACACTGTTTGCAACATGACTAAACCAGACTCAAAATCTTTTTGGGGCAAAAGCACATCATACTTTTAAGCTATCACATTACCATTTCCATATCGAAGATTTCCTAAGACCTTATTAATTATCCTTTAAAAAATCGCGGGAGCATTACACAATCCAAAAGGAACTCGCAAATATTCGTCATGGCTATTAGGCAAGATAAATGCAGTTTTGGGAATTGACGACTCTTCTATTGGAATTTGATAATAGCCGCTGGCTAAATCTAAATAGTATTCTTGACCAGGAACAGGGGCCTTATTCTGTAAGGAACGAACCGTTCGATTCGGTAGAATTTCTTCGATTGTGACGTCATTTTCGGTTTGGTTTTCGCAATACTTAACCGAAAATGACGTCACAATCGAAGAAATTTTACCGAATCGAGCGGTTCGTTCCTTACAGAATAAGGCTTTGTTTTGTCACTAGAATCGATGTATTATAGAGAACAACTACTGAATCTTCTTTAGGCCACAATAGTATTTTATCTCGGTTTTTCGTTAAAGCTTCTAGTTTTCTGGGACTGAAAAAGTACTCTAAAGTGTTCGGAAAAGTGTCGCAGTTCGAATTCTGTGTTTATTTTGCCAAAAAAATTGAATTTCCGAGTGAAGGCCACAGTTTTTGAGGGGTGAGTACAAGAAATTCGAAACTAAACCTTTTATGTGTTTATAAGCTTTGTTCCAACAGACATGAGAAGAGAAGCTTATCAAAACCAGTAATTTCCAGTTGCCCATCTATTTTTCAATAAGTTCAACGTATATCCTCTAATTGACAAATAAATTAATCGACTGGAAGTTACCGTTCTAAAACGGTTCTCATGTCTGTTGGAACAAAGCTCTGGTGTTTTATATGTTAAAAATAGAGCAGGCAAAAAAAAATTGTATTTCTATCTCGAAAGTATTTACGGTCCCTGCTCGGGCGCCAATTTTGTAAAGCGCCATTTTTTTGCGTAATCGGCGCGGGTTCAGTGCATGTCGGTTTATCGAGCTGAGGGCCCACTTGCACCAGGTAGCTTTTTATAGTGGAGAACCAGTAATCCAGAGGTCATAGTCGCTTATACATGACGCTATAGATGACAGGCCCACGTGATCAGTTTTGAAGCTTCAATAAGTTTCTGTCAACAGTGTCATTTTTTAGTTCACGAAGGATTAACCGAACTCGCTTATTGACAGTTGAATTGTAGAGGGCGCTTCCTTACTTGAAGTTTTTTATGATGTGACGCGTGAATAACCGAGAGTTCTGAACTCGCCTCTGAATGTAAATATGACCTGACAAACTCGCTTCTCATTGGACGTTCATCTGCAACCCTGTAGTTGCGCGCAGTCGTATACTTTCAAGACAAGGATATTACACATTAAACAGGAAATCCTATAAGGTCTGTGTAGTTCAATTCTCAAGCCCCTCACCGCGCCTAAGTACCAATGATGACGTAGTCAACGTGTCGTCCACAGGTTAAGATTCCGCTGGCATTTACTTTATGCATATTAGATTTTAGTACATTTATAAAACAACCTTTGTCTATTATGATTAACTCAAAATTAAATAATATTTTTCATCGTAAATGTATATTCTAAACTACGACCACTGATGCAAAGAGTCAACGACACCTTTAATGACGTCAGCAACGGCGCAACACCATATGACGTTGGTTTTGAAAAATCGACGCCGATGAGCAATCCTGTAGTAGTATGTGATATCTTTGCCGCCAAGACGAGGCAAAATGTACCAAATCGTGTTTGACTTATATATGGCAATCCATCCTTGTTATTTGCACAGGGTAAAACAGGCAGGCAAACTTTCGATGTTTGATAGCCATGATGCGGTCTTGAAAATCGATCACTTATCAACTTGGATATCAACTTTAATTTTATCCTTGTCAGACTACGGGTAATGAACAAGGACAAGTACTATGCAAAACTATAACACCTCACACCTTTTAGCCATTAGAAAGGCATTAGGCAATTCGAATCAGCTAATAATTCAAGATGGCGACGTGGGCAAACAAACTTGACATCCGTAAAGGTACCTTTATATCCAATTTCAAAACGTAAGTAGAGATACATGGTTCGTTCTGCATCCTCCGACGCCTCCGTGACGTCTGCGCATGCGTCAACCATGGCGTCACGACCCTAATACGTCATCAGTAGAAAATCTCCGAACTAACCCAAATGGTCGACGCCAATACGTCATCAGTAGAAAATCTCTGAACTAACCTAAATGATGGTCACGTGTGCTATGCCATATTTTAGGGCGTGGCCCGTAATTTGACGTATGTTACCTGTCAACCGTCACCTAGCATTTTGACAGCTGTAATCTTATACGAGATATCTGTCATTTTGAACGGGATAACAAGTCACGAGGTACCTGTCATCTTATACGGGGTAACAACATCTGTCACGTTATCTGTCACCCATCATTTTTGACAGCTATCACATGTCAAAAACCAGCTGTCAAGTGTTTAAATTGAAATCTAGCATAGGGGGCTTGTGAAGGATGAGGTCATACATAGTTCTTCAAAAAAAAAAAATTGGGACAATGTTGGGTTCTACATCCTCCGTCTTCTGGAGGAAATTTCTCGGAGTAAATTTATCATCTAGAAATTCCCCAAATAATGGCCGCGTGGGCTACCTAAGTAATCGTAGTAATTTCTAAAAAAAAATAATTGGAATACGGTTGTCATCTACGGCGCCATATTGAATTGACCTGTCAAACGCAATTCAATATGGCCGTTCATTTGGGATACTGATAAAAATCAATGAAATTTTTTTTATTTTGTCACTTTCTGGACGTTCACAGGTTTGACATTGAAAATGTCATGTTTGGCATCTATAACAACAATGGCGGAACACAAAAGCTGAACGTCACCATAATATTTGACCTGAACGGCCATATTAGATTGCCTTTTATTATTATATGAGTTAGACGCAGACAGATAGATAAATGAGTTGCACTCATGCGCATTTCTTCATTATTTTGGTTAAATGAATGACAGGTTTTGTTTGCACCTCTGATACATCCCTACCATGACCCCCCTCGACCAGCTCACCACCCCTGCAGGGTCTTGTCAGATATCTGTGTTAAGGTGTCATTGGAAAATTCTTACCTTAACCAATCTTTATTCTGAGGACATCACAACTAACTTGTCATTTTTACATACTAAAAAAAGGAGGGAATATCAAATATTTCAAAGCAAATATGACAATCCGCCTTACAAAGTCACAGTCCCAACACCATACAAATGTTCCAATCTCATACCACAAACCCTTAGACTGTAGAGAGGAAATGTCGATAGAAATAGAGAAAATATCTGTATTCGTTACAGAATTCCAATCCTGATAACTTTTATGACGTCATCTGGAGTGCTCAAACATAATGCAAATCTCTATTAGGCAACCCAGATGAAGTCATCTGTTTACTTTAGATTTAACTAGCTTGAAATTTTGACATACTAGAAGTAGAGGGAATTTTAAATATTTTAAACTGTTTTTATTCGTT